GATCCAAGGATCAAATGAGATCAAGTGAGATAGCATTTGTTAAATGCTTCGTACAGTGTCTAGCACATAGAAGGTGCTTAATAAACACTGTTTCCTTCTGTTTCTTTCCTTCTGTCCCCTAGGCCTTCATTTCTACATGCCTCTCACTATCTATCTCCTCTCCAGCCCTTATAGTCAGGCTTCCACTACCACAGTCCATGACTTCCTAATCCTCAAATCCAATGACCTTTTCTTTGTCCTCATCCTTCTTGAGCCCCTCCCCCCAAAAACTTTGACATCCCCTCCTATTCTCTGTGACTACCCTTATTTCTCCTTTTCTGGTTTCTTGACCTCTAAGATCCCAGTTCTGAATCCTGCTATCCATCCCATGATCCTCTTCCTACCTTTTAATGTGGGTGGTCCCCAAGTGTCCATCATGAGCCCCTAGCCCCTCTTTTCTGCCTGGTCAATTTCATTTCCTTCCACAGCTTCAAGAGAGCTCCCGCAGCCACATCTTTATTGCTTCTAAGCACGAGTTCTCATAACACCATCCTGAGCCCCATCTTCAGAGCTGCTTTAAGGACATCTCCCTATAGCTGTCCCATGCAAATCTCAAACTTAGCACAGCATGGCTCAAGAATTTTCAGTGGGTCCTTATTTTCTTTAAGAAAAATATAACCCAGGGCAGCTAGGTGGAACATTAGATAGAGCACAGGCCCTGGAGTCAGGAGGATCTGAGTTCAAACGTGGCCTTCAGACACTTACTAGCTGTGTGACCTTGGACAAGTCACTTAACCTTGATTGCCTCAAAAAAAAAACCACCACCAACAAAAAACTACAACCTCCTCCATTTGGAATTAAAATCATTCACAATCACTATTCTTCTAGCCCAATGTCATTTCTCTCTCTCTCTCTCTGTCCATTCCAGACAAACCAGTCTATTTGTTATTCCCTGTACATAATGAGCATTCCCTGGAATGCTCTCTCACCTGACCTTTGCCTCTTGCCAAACCCAACTTCCTTCAAGACTCCATGTTCAATGTGAGATAGTCTTTCCTGTTTCCCTAATTATTAATGCTTTCCCTCCTATACCCACCAAATTACTTTGTAGCCCAGGGTTCAAGCATGGTGCATTTGTACAAGACTTTCCTCACCGGTGGAGAGATTGCTAGAAGTTGTGTATCCTCAATTTGGAAGCAGAAAGCCAGGTTTCTCCTTCCCCGGCTCCAAGCTTCACCCCCTGGAGTAATCTTCTCCACTACTGAGAGTCTAACGCATGTGCAACAGGCCTGGACTCCTGGTTACACTTTATTGACTTCCCTATTTCTGTCAAAGGCACCGCTCTTCTTCTGGTCTCCAGGCTTCATAACTGCGACAGTATCCTGGAATCCTCATTCTCCCTCACCCCCACATCCAATCAGTTGCCCGATCTTGCCATTTCTACTTCTACAACTGGGCATCTAGCTGGCACAGTGGATAGAGTGCTGGGCCCGAAAATCAGGAAGACTCATCTTCCTGAATTCAAATCTGGTCTCAGATACTTACTAGTTGTGTGACCCTGGGCAAGTCGCTTCACCCTGTTTGCCTCAGTTTCCTCATCTGTAAAATGAGCTGCAGAAGGAAATGGCAAACTGCTCCAGTATTTTTGCCAAGAAAACCGCAAATAGGTAAGAAGAGTCAGACATGACTGAAAGGACTGAACAACAACAAAGCTTTCTAACATCTCTCCCATCTGACTCCCCTCTACGCACATAGCTTCCGCCTTAGTTCAGGCCTCCATCTGCCTCTTGCCTAGATTGCTACAAATCTCTTAATTGGTCTCCCTTCCTCAGATCTCTCCCTTTTCCATTCCACCCTGCACACCACAGCCAGAGGGATATTCCTCAGGCTCCTATCTGACCATGTGACTTTCCTACTCAGTCAAGTCCAGGGACTTTCTATTGTCTCAAGGATCAAATATAAACTCCTCCATTAAGATCTTAAAGCCCTACACAACCTATCTTTCCAGTCTCACTGGACATTCCTTCCCCTCTCATACTTCCAATTCAGCCAAACTGGCTTTCTCTCTTATCCTTTTCCATTACCATGAAGGAAAACACTTTTTTCCCAATCACCCAGCCTCAAAACCTCCATGTCGCCCTCAATGCCTCTTACAATGGCTCCATTTATCCCATCTGTCTCCTTGTCTCGTGTTTCTGTTTCACATCTTTCAATGACCTCCCATCCTCTCTACTCACACAGCCACCATCCTGGTCCAGACTCTCATCACCTCATACCTAGTCTACAGCAAAGAGTCTTCTGCTTGGCCTCCCTGCCTCCATTTTCTTCCATTTCTAAACCAAACCCCACTCAGCTGTCAAAGTGACCTTCCCAAAGTATGTATCTGACTGTCACTCCCCTCCTCAACAATCTTCAGGGGCTCCTCATTACCTCCAGGATCCAAGATAAAATTCATTATGTGGTATTGAAGGACTTCACAACCTTTCTCCTTCCTCTCAGTTGAATCTTTTTACACTCTCTATGGACCAGGCCCTCTGGGACTCCTTCCTGTGTTTTTTCACTGGCTATGCCCCATACCCGCCATGTCTCCCTTCTCATTTCTGCCAAGTGGCTCCCCTGGCTTCCTTCAAGACTCGATTCAAATTCCCACCTTCTGAAGGAGGCTTTTCGTAGTTTCTCCTTGCCTCTGCCCCCACTGCCAGGGGCTGCCCTCTGACATGCCTTTCCACTACCAGGTGTCTTCTACATACATAGTTGTTTGTTTGCTGTCTTCCCCATTAGAATGTGAGCCTTCTGAGAGCAGAGATTATGTTGTTGGTTTTTTTTTGGTGAGGCAATCAGGGTTAAGTGACTTGCCCAGGGTCACATAGCTAGTAAATGTTACGTGTCTGAGACTGGATTTGAACTCACATCTTCCTGACTCCAAGGCCAGAGCTCTACCTACTGTGCCACCTTGCTGCCCCAGAGACTATCTTTGTCGCACAGTGCCTGGAACACAGTAAGTGCTAGATAAATGCTCCTTGACCAACTGATTCCTCAACCTTTATTGAATCTGTCTCCTTCTTTCTATTCACACTAAAACCTAGTTAGGCCCTCATCACCTTTCTCCTGGACAACTGTGATAGCCTGCCAGCTGGTTTCCCTGCATTCACTCCATCCCACCCAATCCATCCTCCAAACAACTACCAAATTGATATTCCTGAAATGCAGATCTGACCATGTCGCTGCCTGGTTCAAGAAGCTCCCGTGGCTCCCCATTGCCTTTAGGATAAAATATGAACCCCTGTTTGTCATTTAAAGTCTTTCACATACTTGTCCAGGCTGACTACATGGTATGACCTTTGTTAAGCCACACTGAAGCCAAACTAATTTATTTTTTGTTTCCTAAACAGAACATTCCATCCCCTACCTTTATGCCTTTCTTTGCACAGAAACCTCTTTGTTAAACCACACTGAAGCCAAACTAATTTATTTTTTGTTTCCTAAACAGAACATTCCATCCCCTACCTTTATGCCTTTCTTTGCACAGAAACCCCAACCTAAACCTAGTAATGTGAGTCATCTGGACTGTAGGGTTGCTTGACTCTCTAGCATCCTTGAGCTATTTCTACTTGAAGAGGAAGTGAGACAGCATAGTAGTATTAATCTGGAGGACTGAGTAGGTCTTTGGTGAAGGAACAGGCCCATCAGAGAGGGAAGGGGATTTGATCTGACCATTTATGGACCTCATTTATGCCAGTCAGGTTAAATGAAACCTGTCCTATAATCAACATTTCATTAGTCTGAGATGGAAACAGAGGACCCTTAGAACAAGGGGCATCAAATTCTGACGTTCCCAGAGGGAAAACCTTGGTGCTGACATGAGCCATATTACTGGTAAGATTTCAATACTGAAGCTAATTCTCTTTCACGATGGAGCCTGGATGATGGGCCCTCAGCTTCTGCTCTGCTCCCTAAGTCTGCTCTTTCCGACTTCGTTGTTTCTGTCTGTGGCATCACCACTGACCTGTTCTCCCGTGTTCATAACCTTTCTTTAACTCTTCCCAAGCTCTCATATCTGCTGTTTCCCTCGTCCCCATCATCTCTCTCTGATCTAGCTCCTCTTTTATCCCCACTGCATCCACTGGAACACTGCAGTATATTAACAGGTCTGCCCACCTCCACTGTCTCCCCACTTCCATCCATCTTTCATATCATTTCCAGAATAATCTTCCTTATGCATGCATGCATAGATCAGCTCTTCTCAGGAATATTGGGTGGTTCCCTACTGCCTCTAGAATCAAGTTTAAACTCCTAAATCTAATTTGAGTGTCAGCCAAGCTGTAAAGGCCTTCACAGGCTTATCTTATACTACTGTCTTCTCCACTCTCAAATCTCCACTTCATTTCCCTATCCCTAACCTACCCTTTATGTTTTCCTACCTCCATACCTTTGCCTACTCTATTCCTTGTCGTGTTCTTATTCTCCCTCCTTACTTGTTGAGTTCCTGCCTACTGCATCTAATTCCAATGCCATGTCTTTTTATTCGTATTTTTTTGAGGCAATTGGGGGAGGGGTGTTAACTGTCCGGCCCCCAGAAGGCCAGCAGCAGGGCACTGTGGGCAGGGAGGCCAGAAGTACTGGAGGAGCCTTCCTCGAGCTCAGATCCTCCTGACTCCCAGTCTGGTGCTCTATCTACTGTGCCCCCTAGCTGCCCTTGCAATCTCCATTAAGATGCTTTCTCTGATCTACTAGTCTATAAGGATTTCTCCTTGGATTTCACTTTAATGCATTTCTTTAAGGTTGTATAGAATATACATCTGTGTCTATCTTTTTCTTCTCTGATGGAAACCTTCTCACCTACATTTTGTCTCTCTCTCTGCCTAGCATGGTATTCTGCATACTCTAGGCACTTTATATTTGTGGGAGAGATGACAGAAATCCTATAGAAATCTACTGCCTGCTTGAAATGACCCAAAGATCCAGTACAGCATCCTGCTTTGGAGACCTTAGTCCCCTCTGCCCCTACACTGAGACCATGATTAGAGAGAGATGATTTATTCAGAGAAATTAGATAACAAAGCCTCACTGGAGCTGCCCATCAGGGACTCTGCAGAGGTGCTCCAGAGCTTAGCAGCTGTCCGACAGAGCCTGTGAGCTTAGGATGGGGAGACTTCAAGGAAAAAACAGGACTCTAAAGAGTCTAAATATCTAAAGAGGGGCCAAGAAATAGAAGGGGAAGACTGAGTAGGGGGTAATGAGCAGGTCTGGAAGCAATCAAGGCAGCAGAAGCCAACCTTCTGTAGAGAAAGTTCCTGAGGAGAGCTGGGTTTGTTGGGAGGAGGGGGGTGGAGAGGCCCCATACTTTTCCCTGCTCCAAAGGACAGTGGGTTCTGCCAACTCTGGAAAAGGGGCCTTCTTCCTTTTTTTTTTTTTTTATAAATTTTCTTTGGCCTTTTAAGATGCTCTTTCCTCTCTGGGTCTGCTCAGTGAGCCCTGGACCCTCCTCCTCTCCCATCTGCTCCTGGGGCCAGAGCAGTGGCCTCATTTGTTGGAGCACCAGCTGGTAGGCAGGGAGGGGGCATGACTGAGTCTGAGCAAACCCTACTCCAAAACAGTGAAAAGTACCAGATGACCAGGGAAGAGAGGCCAAGCCCTCTCTAGGTGGACATTGGTGTATGCCAGCCTAATACCAGACTCTGACAGAGAGCACCTAGGCTCAGGTCCAAAGAAGGGGAGCCTGAGGAGGGAGGAAAGAGTCTGAAAGGAGGCCAGGTGGGTAGGCATGGCCTTGAGAGAGGGATGGATAGGACAGGCCCTGGTTGGCTCTGCCATCCTGCAGCTCCACAGATGATCCATAGGCCTGGCCAGGAGCAACAGCAGACACAGGAAGTGCCCCCTCCAGATGGATCCTAGTCCAAAAAGTCAGGGCCTTAGTTTCCTTATCTGTAAGAAAAAAGCTCCAAAGTCTCTTCTAGCTCTCAATAATATGACCTTATCAGAAAGGAGCCCATCCCATCTATTCCCCCCAACCTCTCCTTCCCAAAGGGGTGGCAGGGTCTGGTGGAGAGACCCTGGCTAGAATTGTTTTTGTTGGTGCAGAGTGGGTGGCTGAACACAACTAGGCATGCTGGTGATTAGACAGGGAATTGAGGATGGGGGTGGGGCAGGGAGGAAGAGGCTGGAGTCTTTAGAGAGAAGTCTCTCCCCAGGGCAAGAGGACTCCTGAGCTCTCTAGAGCCTGGGCGGCTTGGGCCAGGGACTCCAGCTCCTCCTCCTGACAGGCCGCCATCTGCGCTATCTGCTGGTCCAGGCTCTGCTGCTGCTGCTCCTGCTTCCGTTGGGCTCCCCGGAAGGCCAGCACCAGGGCACTGTGGGCAGGGAGGCCAGAAGCACTGGAGGAGCCTTCCTCGAGCCTCTTCAGTGCCACGTGGTCCCTTCCATGCCCAGATGGAAGGCTTAGGTATATACTTCTGTGTTCACTGAACCCTCCCAGCTGTGACTTTTTGTGTTGTAAAGTCCCTCCCAGGTGCGACATTCTGGGTTCTAAGGGCCCACCCAGTTCTGATGTCCTATGTTCTATTAAGTCAATCAGAAGTACCAGAGGGCAGGGCCATGATCTGCTGACCTTGCATGTGTAGCACTTAATTCATCCAGGGGATAAGGGCTTGGGAAAGGGGACGAGGTTGGAAGGTGAGGGGTTTGGGGGAGTCCAGTGGTCAGCTACACTAACCTGTGGGCCTTGCAGAAGTCATTGGTGAGCTCCACACACTGGGCTCGCTGGGCCCGCTCATCCTGGGCCATCCGCTCCAGTGAAGCCTGCAGCTCCTTCAGTTGTCCTTCTAACTCCTGGGTCCTGGTACCCCAGAGGTGAGGTGGAGGGATATGGACATATGGGGGCTTCCTCCCTGCCCTTGCAGGCAGATGGCTATGGGGCAGGCTATCCTCAGGACATTCTCCAATGCCCACCCTCAGCCCTTGGAGGGAGGTACCCACCGAGTCAGGGAACTACTGAGCTCCTGCAGCATGTCCTCTGAGTCCCGGGCTCCCCCTAGCCAGGTTATCTGGTCCCCATCTCCAGAAGCCTAGAATAAAGATACCAACAGGTCAGCTTTCAAGGCACTTTCCTTGTGACAACTCCAGGAAGTATACTGAACAACTATTATCATCCTCATTTTAGAGATGAAGGAAAACTAATGTCTTGACTGAGGGGCTGACTTTCCTAAAGTTACATAGAGAGTCAGTGACAGCCAGGCAGTCAGCAAACATTTTAAGCGCCAACTATGTGCCAGGCAGTATGTTAAGAATGCAAAGCTTAAAAAACAAAACAAAACCCAGTCCCTGCCCTCAAGGAACTCAAAAGTCTGGAGTCTAGAAATAGTGTCTCATGCAAGGAACAGCAGGGAGGTCAGTGTCACTCCATCAAAGAATGCAGGGAGAGTAGTTAAATAAGGTTAAGTAAGTAGGAAGAGTAAGAAGGTAGTTGGGGCCAGGTTATGAAGAGCTTTGTATATCAAATGTTGTTACTTTAGTCACATCCAAATCTAGCGAAATGACCCCATTTGGGGTTTTCTTGGCAAAGACACTGAGTGGCTTATCATTTCCTTGAATATCAAATAGAGGACTATGGTCAATATCAATAGAGATATTGACATCAATAATGTCAATGTCAAACAGAGATATGTGATCTCAGAGGCTATACTATCAGGGAAGCAGAGGCCCCAGGATAGAGCCTTGGGAGTTACTGACAATTAGTAGGCAGTTCCTGGATGAAGATCCAGCAAAGGAGACTGATTGGTCAGAAAGATAGGAGAACCAGGAGAGAGAGACCTGTCATGAAAACCTGGAGGGAAGAGAATGTCAAGGAGAAGAGGGTGATGGACAGTGTCAGAGACTGCGGAGGTGAAGCAGGATGAGACTGAGAAATGAAGAGGTCACAGGTGATTTGGGGGAGAGCAGTTTCAGTTGAATTGATGAGGCTGGACGCTAGAAGTGGCTTCAGTCGCCAGCCTTGCCGCCTGGGGCTCTTTCTGCCATGTTGTACAGCCTCCGAGTCATGGGCACCTCCCTGGAGCCTGAGGCTCGGCTTCCTTCTCCCTCCCCTAAAGGTGCTCACCCATGCTCCACAGCTGCTGTCGCTGTCACTGTCACTGCCCCGAGCTGAGGGTATCGTGGGGTCTGCACTGGCCCAGCTGCCACCGCAGCTGCTCTAGGAGTAGGAGGTAGAGAGTGCCCTGTGCCCGGTGGGCTGCATCTCTTAGCTCCAGTGCCCGCTTCTGCTTCTTCACCAGCTGTAGCTTCAGTGTCAGGTCCATCAGGGCCTCCTGTGGGCAGGGACACAGGCAGAGCCGAGATCCTCCTTAACTGCTTTTCTCCAGGGCTGGACACTGAGCCCTCCCTGGGGGAGAACTGAGACCTCAAGAGGGCCATTTGGGGCACAATGTGTGAACCATCAAACTAGTGTTCGGGCTTCAGGGACGGTATCCAGGGCATTGGCCTGAGTTCTCACCCACCCTTTGGATGCTGGTGAGCAGAGATTCCAATCCCATAACTGGCCTATGTTCTGAGGCTCTCCCAGCCCAGATATTCTGTGTTTAAAGAGCCCTCTCAGCTCTCACATTCTGGATTCTAAGCCCCACCCCCCCACATCCCAGCTCTAACATTCTGTGTCTTGATGTCCTTTAATTTCTGACATATTATATTCTAAGGCCCTTCCCAGCTCTGGTCTTCTGTGTTCCGAGTTCCCCCTGACCCCCACCCCTTCTAAGATAGCTTCCAAGTATGCTATTCCAATATTCTGTGTTCCAGAGTCATTCCTGCTTCTAAGAAAGTTGGAGGTTAAGGGGAGGAAGGAAAGGGCAGTGAGTAAGCCAGTGGAAGATTATTGGGGTACATACCCTCATGGTGGCCAACTCTTGCTGAATCTGCGTCTTTTCCAGCCTTGGCAGCTCCAGGTCAGGCTGAGCCTCCAGCATGGCCTGGAAGATGGCTTCTTCCCGAAGCACACTGGGCCCCTGGCCTGGTCTAGGGTCTGGCTCTGGGGGCACCTTCACCAGGGCTTGGTGTGCCCGGAGCCTCCCAATATAGCCCTGCAGGAGTGCTGCTACCTCCAGTTCTGTGGGTGCATCCACACTGCTGCCCTCAGGGCTGTAAGATACAGAGGCCGTGCCACCCTAGAGGGTATTATCCTGCCAAGCTAGCCTAAACGCCCCTGTAGCCTTTCCTCCCGTTTTTCTCTTCTCCTTCAACCTCCTGGGGTTGGCAGGCACAATCCCCTCACCCCTCCCAGCGTCCCCCTACCTTACGTAGACACGAGCCAGGATGCCAGCCTCTGTGGGGTCTTCCTCAGACAAGAGTCGCTGTGCCACTGCCATGGCTGACTCTGTCCTGCCTCCTCTGGCCTGTGGACCTGGCATGGCTCTCGTGTCGACTGTCCGTAGGGCTAGCAGCACCCCATAGGCCTCCACACACTGCTCACTGCTAGACACAGGTCTGCTCAGAACATTCCTGGGACTACCCCATTCAGCCTCTTGGGAGTCCATGGACTTCTCCCCCCCAGTCCCATACCTCTCATCCCTTCCTGTACTTTATCCCTCATTAACCACCCTCATTAGTATCTCAGGTACTGATGTTTAAATGACTGAAGTCCGGTTCAGTGGCTGGTCTTGCTCTTTAGACCCTTAGCCTAGGGTCATGTTTTTTCTTCTCAGCCTTGGGTCATGTCTCTTCCTGCCTCATTCTCAGGTCTGGGACTCTCTGAGCCTACAGCTCTATCTCCTCGTACCAAAGCTTCAGCGAGGGCAATGCTGTGTCTCTTCCAACAAGAGTTGGCTCTAACGGGGGCAAACAGGGCCTTGATACAGGCCCTGACATTCCATAAGGGCCTGCTTCCTCCCTCTCTGGCCCCGGAGTGTGATTAGCCACCTGGATTTCTATCCCCTAAGGTCCCATGGTTATCACGCTCTTCTCCTGGGGGCCTATTCCCCATCAGAGAGACAGGCCCAAACATGCAGTCTGGTCTCAGGGACCCATGTCACATGGCCAGTACCTGCTGGGGGATGAACAGTGAAAGCACTTTCCCTTTTACCCCCTCCCTGATTAGTCAGCTCGGCCTGTGCCCCCCACAGCCCCCATCCTTCTCTGATCTAACAACCTTCCGATCCCAGATCTCTTCCTCATGTTTCTTTTATCTTCTGATCCTTATTGAAACCTAGCTTTCTCCTGAATTCACCATCTCTTAGCATGCTCTCCCAGGATGGCTGCTCCTTCTCTCACATTCCCTGACCCAAGGGCAAGAAGCGGACACACTACTCCTTGAACCCCACTGCCAAGTTCAGAGCCTCCCGCAGCCACCATCACACCATGTAGTGAATCGAACACTAAGTCTGGAGTCAGAAAGATGTAGATTCAGATCCTACCCCAACCTCTTACTAGCTGTGTGACCCTGGGTAAGTCACATAATTGCTCTGTGCTTTAGTTTCCTGATCTGCAAGGTGAACAGGTCAGAACAGATGACCTTTTAGAGCTCTTCCTTCCAGTTCCATGTTCCTGGAGGGTCTTTGTTGCTGCCATCTCTGGATGTCCAGGTCACTATCCTTCCTTCCCAATAATTTCAGTACCTGGCCCACAGTCCTTTCCACCCTAACCCCTTAATGGCTTTAAACATCTTGGATTTTCAGTTCCCTAACTTCTCCAACTTCCATGACCTCTGGCTCCAGTCTACCTCAATAGTACCCAAGAAAGGGCATATCTTAGAGATCCCATCCAGATGCCACCCCACAAAAAACTCAGACATTTACCCTGGATGCCAGGTAGGTAGTATTCCTCAGTAAGTCTACGTACCAAGGGCTCCCTTAGGGCAGCTACTGGCATTTATCCTGTTGGCTCACCTGTATTGCAGGGCTAGGTGCAGGGCAGTAGTCTCGGCCTCCCTCTGTCCCAGCTGCATGCTCAGCCCCTCTGAGTAGCCCTTGCAGGATTGCAGGGCCCCCAGCATCATTTGGTTGAAGCATTTTAGCCTCTGGATAGTCCTGGGTGGGGAGAGGAAAGAGGAGAGAAAGGATAAAAAGCAGGGGTGGGATAGATATGATAACCCAGCCCAGGATTCCTAGCCAGCTGCCCTGAGAATGAGACAGACTGGGCAGAGAGTGACCCCAACCTGTACCTCCCTAGCCCGGGGTGGGGGATGGGTGTCACAGATTTTACCTCCGGAGCTGTTCCATTTGGGCCTCCAGGTCCTGCAGCTCTGGTGTGAGGGGTGCTGGGATCACAGGGCTGGAAATACTTTGTAGTTGCTATAGCAAGGGGTGAGATGCCCTAAGAGAGGACCTGAATTTGTGTCCACACCACCATGGGGATTTTGGATACCCTAAGGCCCTGAATTCCAATCTTGACTATAACTGATTTACCCAGGGGGCTTCAGATTAGGGACAATGGTTGACAGGAGCCCTCTCCTAGTCTACAGTATGGGAGACAGGAACAGGACAGGACAAGCATTGTTAACCTGGGGTTCATGGGTCTCCAAGGGATCCATGAACTTTAATAGTAAATATATATACATATAATTTTCACTAATCTTTTAGATTCCTTAGTAATCTTATCTAGTTTATTTTACCTATTTAAACACATTATTCTCCCACAAGTGAATTCCTTCCAGGGCTTCCATTTTGGGAAGGGGCCCAAGCTTGCCAACTTTCATTTCTCACTCTGGGCTCCACGTCTGACTTTTCAGACTTCCACACCATGCCTTCCTCAATGGGTATCTTCTCCTCTTCCCTTTCCCTTTTCTTCTTCTTTTGCTATGCTGTGTTCCCTCATTAGATTGTAAGCTCCTTGAAGGCAAGGACTGTCTTTTCACCTGTATTTGTATCTCCAGCCCTTAGAGCAATGCCTGGCACATAGTAAGTATTTAATAAATGCTCATTTCTTTGCATTCTTCTGAGAAGAGGTTCATCAGATTCCCTGTCCTGCCAAATTGGTCCGTGATATAAAAACATTAGGAACTCCTGGCATAGGAGATAGCTAGGTGGTGCAGTGGATACAGCACCAACCCTGGAGTCAGGAGGACCTGAGTTTAAATACGGCCTCTGACATTTACTAGCTGTGTGACCCTGGGCAAGTCACTTAACCCTGACTGCCTCCCCCCAAAAAAGCAAACCGAACCAAAACAAAAGAACTCCTGATGTAGGCAAAAGAACCACAGAGCTAGAGTCAGGAGATCTGGGTTTGAGTCTCAGTTCTGCTGCTGACTGGTCACTAAACTGTGGTCAAGTTACTCCTTCTCTTTGAACCTCAGTTTCTTCATCTGTAAAAAGGAGTTAATTTCACTACCTGTATCACAGGAAGCTTGTGAGGAAAGAACCTGGTAAACGGTTGAGTACCACACGAATGCCAGCTAGGATGATGATGATTATGGTACCCACCTGGGCCCCCCAGAGCACCCCATCTGGCCCTGGGCTGCTGGATCTGCTCACAGAGCTGTCCTGGCTAAGGGGGAGTGCTGGAGATAAATCGAGCTTCAGTAGAGATTCATGCAGCTCCCAGACCTGAAGGAGGAGGGGGGGGTAGGGCAGTGCTGAGTGCTGCAAGGCTCTGTCACCAGCCCATCCCTGATATGGGTTCAGTTTCCTGTCCCACCCTGGACTCTCTTCAGTCCTCTTTTCCCCAAGCACTGTCCTCCTCTCCTTTTATATCGCACCCTTCCCTACAATGCTTCCCAGATTAAGATCCTCTCTCTGAGGGAAGCTGCCTCAACACTTGAGGACCACTCAGTCTTCATTGGAGGGTAGGAGGCTGTACCTCCCTTCTCATGGAGGAGGTTACCTGTAAATAGGGACTGAACCATGTCCTCTCTCAGAATGGAGACCCTTGGAGGGCAGGTCCTGGTCTTCCTCCCAGACCACCCAAAAACCCCACCTCAAAACCCACCTGTCTCTGTAGCTTCTCCTTTTCATCCTGAAAGGCCTGTAGGGAGGCCTGATCCTGGGCCAGCTCCTCCTCCGTGCTTTTCAGAGAACTCCGAAGACTGGCATTCTGCTCAGTCAGGCTCAGAGCCTCCTGTTTGTAGCGGATCCTCTCCTGCTCAGGCAGCCCCTCTTCTTGGCCTATAGGGTGCCAGCCCCTGACCAACTCCTCCAGTCTTTGCAGAGGCCATGGTTTGTCCTGAGAGCCCATACACACACAAAGGATCTGACTCTAGACACAACCTGTGGCCTTCAACCTCAGAATCCCTGCACAAAGTCTTCCCTAATTGAGTGGGAGATGCTTACCTTGCCCTGCTCCTCCGAGCCTAGCGTAGTTGAGACCAGGAGGCTGGAGGCCTGTTGGCGACAAGTCGCTGCCGCCTTCTCCAAAGACTCAACGGCCTGCTGCAGAGCCAGGTACAGGTTGGGGCCGTGCCCTGGGAGTTGGAACCAAGGAATCCTGAACTCTAGGGGTTAGTTGTGGGGGCGGGGAGAAATACTTGCTGTAATACTAGGAGCTCTGAGGGAGAGAGGCTGAAACTTGGATGGGGACAGGAACCTCTAGGGAGAGGTACAAAGTGTAGAGCTGCCAGAAGTGAATTCCATGAGTTATAGTGATTGAAGGTTATGAGGAGAGGGGATATGAAATGATAGTTTAAGGGAGAGAGGGAATTTTAACAACCCTTGGAGACAATGACAAGCCCTCCAAAGTGTGAAGGGAGCTCACCTTCCCGGGCATCCTCTCCTGAGGGCTGGTGGAACTGAGAAAGGGGTGAGGTCGGCATCGTGGACAGCTTTCCAGAATGGCTGCTGGGCTCTGAGGCTTCTATCTGACCATCCCTAAAGAAACCAAGGCCCACTGGGACCATCAGCTCACAGGCTATCCCTACTGTACCCCCCTATTCTCTCTCTCTCTCTCTCTCTCTCTTACATACACATTCATCCCTCCATTCACCAGGTTATTTTCTCTTGGTGGTCCTGGGAGAGAAGGCAGCAAGTCACCCCGTCTTGGGGCCTGGGGTGCTTTGTTCCAAGGATAAAAGAGCCTGTACAAAGGGAACAAGGGAACTCTAGGGGGAAATAAGGAGGAAAGGAAAGGAAGCCAGAAGGAAAATATAAGAGGTATATAAATATGCATGCATGCATCCGCATGCATCCATGGGTACCTGCATGCACATACATGTATGAGGCACGGGCATATGTGTAGAAAGGGAATGATTTGTTGCCATGGAGAAGCAGGAGAAAGTTCACAAACCTAGTAGTTCTCCACCCAGCCCAGACTCTGTGACTTCCACGGAACTCCAGGGGCATGATGGCAGCTTCACCTATCTCATTCGAAATTCAGCTAATTGTAGCCTTTGGGCTGACTTGGGGATGATAACCTCAGGAATGTGGATATCCTTTCACTGTTCACAAAGGACATCATAATTCTCTGATCATAATTCTGATAAGAATTAGACAGGGGTGGGGAACTAGACTAGGAGACCACAAACGAGACAAATTTTTTTTTTTTGGTGAGGCAATCCGGTTAAGTGACTTGCCCGGGGTCACACAGCTCATAAGTGTCATGTGTCTGAGTCCGAGTTTGAACTCAGGGCCTCCTGACTCCAAGGCTGGAGCTCTATCTACTGTGCCACGTAGCTGCCCCACAAAATGTTTTTTAAAATTAGTTTTTAAAATGTCTATGGGCTAGTCTCAGTGGGCAGGGGAGGGACAGTAGGGAGAGAATTTGGAACTCAATTTTAGAAAAAGAATGTTAAAAATTAAAATAAAATGTAATTGGGAAATATTTAACAAGATAAATAAAAATATAATTGATTTAAAAAGTCTAAAAGCTAGACTAGCTAGCCCGATAACTAGGGGTACTGAATGGGTCTACAATACGAAAGAGCTTAATTATTAAGCCCCTGCGGAGGAAGAGCTGATAGGTATCGCTGCCTCGTAGAGGAAGAAGCCTCGCTGCGATCGGAAGCCAGCAGATGGCAGCAGAGAGCAGCACGGTGCAGAGATGTACGGCGGACAGTGTCATAGCAGAAAGAGCCAGGCAGGCTGGGACCCTAGCTCAGCTCCCCTGATGACCTCTTAGAGGACATCAGTGAGTCTGCAGAAGGGGCGGCCCTAGTTGTCCCTCCCGTGCATGCGTCCCAGTGCTTAGCACAGTGCCTGGCCCATAGTAGGCACAAGCTTAATAAATATCGCTCCCTGACGGGATCTACCTCCTTCCCCAATGGCAGTATGGTAGCCAGGGAGGACAACCTACCTCTGTGTGGATGGCGATCCTCATTTTGCTATGCATCTGATTAAATGCCTTTTACTTTGAACTAGTGAGTACTAACTTGGAGTAGATGCTGACCCACAAAGCGCTTCAAACCTGGGGTAGCTTTCCAGGAGCCTACAACTATCTAGTACTAATTCCTCTATATCATTGATATCGTAGAGGTTGCAACTTAAAATCAGGAAAACCTGGCTTTACATCCTAATTCTGAAGACCCTAGTAAGTCAAGTAATGTCTCTGACCTCAGTTTCCTCATCTGTAAAATGGGAGTCCTGACAGATCAATAAAATGAATACATAAATGAAAATATATAATGTATCTATTTTTTAAAATTACATGAAATGCTTTGCAACTTTTTAAGCACTATACTAGGGTTGGGGAACCTGTGGTCTTCAGGCCACATGTGGCCTTCTAGATCCTTAAGTGTGGCCTTTTGACTGAATCCAAATTTTACAGAACAACTCGTTCCCCATCCCTGCACTATACAAATGTGGTTTACAGAAGCACAGCATTGCATAGTGGATTCAATTCAATTCAATTGAATAAACATTTGTTAACTGCCTATGTGACAGGCCCCTTGCTGAGCCTTCCTCATATTGACTGTGTGTCCCTGATAAAGTCACTTAACTTCTCAAGGCTCTAGACCAGTTGTTTCTTGTTGTTATTTGTCCTTCATTGTCGAAGAGGACCATGACATCAGGAAGATGAGGCCGTGACATGCAAGTGAATTGGATTTGAGTGAGGGAGACCTACGCAAATGAGATAACATTTATGTAGCTCTTAGTGCATAGTAGGTTCAGTAGCACACAGGAAACATTAACAAATGCTTGTTTCCTTCCCTTTCTTCCTTCAGCGGGCAGCTCAAGCACTGTCTTCTACATGAAATCTTTCCTGATTCACTCCCATTCCCAACTACCTTGTATACATTTTAGTTTTTCTCTTTCTATTTATTTTGTATAAACTTACATCTTTATTTGCTGTTTCCCTGATCAGAATATAAATCTGAGGCCAGGGATGACTTCCTTCCTTGTATTTGTATCTCTGGGACTTATGGTCAGTGCCTGGAATGTAGTAGCACATTAGTAGGACCTTATTGGTTGTTGATTTATTATCACCTCCTTATCCTGGATGAGGCTAAGTAGGGCAGCCAGGTGGAGCAGTGCGGAGAGCACTGGGCTTGAAATCAGGCAGGCTCCTCTTCCTGAGTTCAAATCCGGCCTCAGATTCTTACTAGCTGTGTGACCTTGGGCCAGTCACTTAACCTTCTTTGCCTCAGTTTCCTCATCTGTAACATGAGCTAGAAAAGAAATGGCAAACCACTCCATTATCTCTGCCAAGAAAACCCCAAATGGGGTCATGAAGACATGACTGAACAATAAATATCCCAGGTACTCTCTTCTCTTTTGGCATTAGAGAGAACATATTTGCCTGGTTCTCCCATTTTTATCAGTGTTCCTTCGCTCTCTCCTTTGCTGTGTTTCTTCTTTCTGACTCCTTCATGCGAATGCTCCCTAAGGTTCTGGCCTCAGCCCTCTCCTCTTCGAAGGCAGCACTGAGTACTGGCCTTGAAATTGGGGGGGGGGAGCTGGTTGTGAATCCTAGCTCTGCCATGTGCTCTCTGGGTAACTGTCACTGAAGGTTTGGGAACCTCAGTCTCCTGATCTGTAAAATCAGTGACTATATGACTTCTAAGTCCCTTCCAGCTCCCAATCTGTGATCCTCTGGTTCTTTCTCTCACCTTGTTCTTTGTAACCTCAACCACTCCTGGGTCACCAGTTCTCCTCTATGCAGATGATCCCCAAACCTGGAACCAGAGGCAACTGGGTGGCACCATGGTGCACAGAACTCTGGACCTGAAGTCAGAAAGACCCGAGTTCCAATGCGGCCACAGACACTTAATAGTTGCGTGATCCTAGGTAAGTCACTCACCCTCTGTTTGCCTCAGTATCCTCAACTATAAAGTAGAGAATAGTACCTGCCTCCATGGGTTTTTATGAGGATCAATTGAGATAATATTTGTTGTTGTTGGGTTTTTTTAAGTGCCTGGCACATAGTAGGCACTATATAAATGCTTATTTTCCTCCCCTTCCCTCACCAGTATCTCAGCCTTGACTTATCATCTGAGTTCTAGACTTCAATCACCAGCCAGATATCCCAGCAGCACCTCAAACTCAATATGTCCCAAACCAGCCTCATTATCTTTCTCTATAAACCCGCCCCTCCTTCTGACTTAATCATTCCCGTCTGAGCGTTCAGTTGGTTCCCCATCTTCAGAAACGTCAAGCTACTTTTTACTCGTCCCCCTCTCACCAATGAATCAATGAATAATTACAATGAACAATTGCAACTAATAATCACAATTACAATGAATAATAATATTAATAATAATATTAATAATAATAGTGATAATAATGGATTATCAATGACAGCTCTTGCATCCATGCCCTCTTCTCTGTTTCTATGGCCACCTCCATCTTATAGGCTCTCACTGACACTCAGCTATAACTATTGCAATAGCTTCCTTACAGGTCTCCTGTCCTCTACTCTCTCCTCCCTCAAATCCATCCTTCGTACAACTCTGAGCATAGTCTTCCTTGTACATAGATCTGGTTGTGTCCTTCCACTTCTCAAAAATCTTCAGTGGCTCCCTATTACTTGATCTCAAGGAGATTACAATCTATCAGAGGAGACATTGTTTGTATGTATGTAAAATAAGTGCAGTGACTCTTCTTTTTTTTGGAGGGGGAAGTATTAACAGCTAGGGGTTGGGAGACAGCTGGGTGGTGTGGTAGACAGATTCCTGGACTAGGAAATAGGTAGACCTAAATTCAAATCCAATTTCAATATTTACTAGCTGTATGACCCTGGACAAGTCATTTAATCTCTGTCTGCCTCAGTTTCTTTGTCTGTAAAATGGGGACAATAATAGCACCTACCTCTCAGTTGTTATAAGAACAAAATGAGATGATATTTGTAAAGTGCTTTGCCAACCTTAACATACCATATAAATTCTAGTTATTATTATTAGGAAAGGCCTTGTGTAGAGATGGCGTGAGCTGAGTGGTGAAAGCAACAAGGAAGGAGAATTCAGGTAGAGTTCAAGATGTTCTGCATAATCCAAGTACTTCAGACCCCAGCACCGCCCTCTCTATCCAGTCTTAGCTTCTTCTTCCCCCTTGACACATTCTGTGCAATGCTCTAGTTAAACTGGACTATTCCCTGCCTCCAGGACACGCAGCATGCTTCCACACCTCATGCTTTGCTTCACTCTTCTCTCACCCTCTCTCTCTCCTCACCAGATGACTCCTAGCTATTCTTTAAAATCAAATTCAAACGCTACCACCCAGAGGAAATTTTCTTCTTTTGCGCCCAGCTCCCCTCCCCCAGCCCCCCATTTGGTAAGAGCTTTCCCCAAGAGGCCTTACATAGCATTAAAAAAAATAACTCTCCAAGGCTCCTCTGTGTGTGTGTGTGTGTGTGTGTGTGTGTGTGTGTGTGTGTGTGTGTGTGTATGTGACAGAGAGACAGACAGAGACAGAGAGGAAGAGAAAGAGCTAGAGAGAGACAGAAGAGAGAGAGAGACAGAGACAGAGACACAGAGAGACAGACAGACAGAGAGGAAGAGAGAGACAGAGACAGAAAGAGATATAAAGATAGAGCTAGAGAGAAACAGAGAGAGCTAGAGAGAGACAGAGACACAGAGAGAGACAGAGACAGAAAGAAATATAAAGATAGAGCTAGAGAGAAACAGAGAGAGCTAGAGAGAGACAAAGATACAGAGACACAGAGAGACAGACAGAGAGGAAGACAGAGACAGAAAAAGAGAGCTAGAGAGACAGAGAGAGAGAGAGAGAGAGAGAGAGAGAGAGAGGGAGAGAATGAGCCGCCTGCAGTTTCATTAGTGTAGGAGATAACTGATGAAGAACCTCCTTCTGTTAATAGAGGTCTCTCCCTCTCTGCCATCTAGTTTTAGTCACCTGGAACACTGAGAGGGTAGGTGACTTGGTTAGAGTCATACAGCTAACATATGTGAGAGGCTGAGTCTCCTGGCTCCAAGGCAGAGCCTTTCTCCTCCACCTTAGTGCTTCTCCTGTATCTCTATCTGATAGAGAGATAGATTTATATTTAAATATATAGATGTATACATATGTGTATATTATAAGATTCTATATCAATCCATATTGATCTATACTATAGTCTGTTATTGCATGTATTGCATATATTCTGAGATTCCATAAATGTATTAATATACTTATATCTAAGATTCTGTAAATGTATACATATATTCTAAGATTCCATATTAATCCCATATTGGTCTATAGTCTATTATTCTATATGTTTCTATATTGTGTATATTCTAAGATTCTATAAATGTATTTTATATTATATACTTTATATAATATAATATTTATATGATACTGTATTTTATACTATATCTGTTATATGTATTCTAAGTTTCTATATATATGTATTCTAAAATTCTATGAATGTATTTGTATACATTTTATAATTACAATGTTTATAATAATTTATTATAATATAATATTTTATGTTACATCTATTATATTCTAAGTTGCTATACATATATACATATATATTCTAAGATTCTATATTAATGCTGCATTAGTCTATATTTTATTAATACTAACATTTCTGTATTGTATATAAGATTCTATATTTTAAGATTCCATATTCCTATTAGTCTGTATTCTATTATTCTACATATTTTCATGATTCTAAGATTCTAAAAATATATTAGAACTATTTTATATCTATGTATGTTTATGTAGGGGTGTATATATATATAGATACATACACACACCACACACACACACATATATGTATATTTATTCACACATATACTAAGACTCTACCAACTTGTGTTTACTTATTGGCCCACTAGAGGCCTGGTGGTATAGCAGACAGAAGGTAAGCTGACTGTGGAGACCTGAGTCACGGCCCTGTCTCTTGCACATCCTGGCTCTGAGCCTCCATGAAAATCACTGAACTTCTCAGTGCTCCAGGGAACTCTTCAGGATGACAAATAGCCAAGAAGTTGCCCCATGTGTGTTGGTAAAGGAAGTTCCTCAGCCAGTGTTACCTGCACATATAAAATCCCAGGTCCCGTTGCCATGCCTTTCCCTGTTACAACTACCTATGGTTGAGTTGTCCCTTTCTGTATCATGGGCTCCATGAAGGCAGAGACTTCTTATCAAAACCTGGTATCTCTTCCAGGGCCCAGAACAGAGTGTGTGTATGTGTGTGTGTGTGTGTGTGTGTGTGTGTGTGTATGTGTCTGTGTCTGTGTGTTTAATCACTACTAGTTGTGTAGTCTTGTATGAGGGTCTTGCGTTTAAAGGGATCACTCAGCACCGGGTAAAAGTTGGACCTGTTAACCTTCAAAGGTCCTTCAACAGCTGAGATTCTGCAATTAAATAATCAGAGAAATGACCAATAATATATCTTTTAAAAGCAAAAATTTAACAATTACAAATCATTCAAAAAGAGTAAAAATTTTTTCTGAGTCAAGAGCTAGGAAGGGCCTTAGAATATAGAATATCAGAGCTGGGAGGACCCTTAGAACACACAATATGGGGGATATGGGGGAGCCCTTAGAAGAAAGAATGTCAGAGCTGGGAGGACCTTTAGAACATGAAATGGCAAAGCTGGAAAGAAACCTTGGAATAGAGTACGCAAAGTCAGAGCTGGTAGAAACTTTAGAAAGCCTATAACCCAGCTGCCTCACTGTAAAGTTGGAACTCAGAGCAGTAAGATAGGATAGGAGGTGTGAGTAGCCCTTGCATACCTTTCTGCCCTCGCCACCCCAGCCCAGTCCTACCTGGGTGTGTCCGGCTGTAGACAGTTGCTTTGGCTGCTGGGCTCTGCAGTGGTGATCAGGTGCTCTGCCAGTGATTCTTCCTGGGGCAGCTTGGGGGCTTGCTCTGACCCAACGCTGATTCCCAGGTGTCTGTCTCTTCAGTGCTCTCCACCACAGGGTCCAGCTCCCCCTGCAAGCACCCTTAGCCTTGGGAATGGGGTTCTGAGCCCCAGTGGACTCTGACATTCCATATCAATGTTGTGGGTCAGGGAGGGGACACTCTGGTCAAGGAATGCTGGGGATACCTCCATTGGGCAGAATCTAAGGTTCAGAATTTTCTGGGAAGATAAGGGTTTCAAATGGGCAAACAGGCCCCAAGGCTAAAGCTTGAGAGGTGGGGAGAGGACTCCAGAGTTAGGCCACCCCAGGGGCCTCTCCATTCTTCCCGACCCCACCCTGCCTGACAGAGGTGGAGATGGCCTCACTTGGCCTCTCTTCCTATTTTCAGGAAGAACAAAGAGGAGACACTGGCCTGTCCCGAGATCACGGTCACTCACTGGGGGTGGCGCCCTCCCCCGCCGGCTGCGGGGTCTGGTAGCTCTACTGCTCATCTTCGGTCTGGGCCTGGCCTGGGGGGGACAGAGAAGAGGTGGACCCAGCTGACATCTCCACCTCCCAGCCTATTTCTGTCCAGAGGCTTTGGTCGTACGACCTTTGTTTTGTTAGACCTCAGCTCTTGGTGTCCTATCCCTACCCTAACAAGCTCATCTTCCTGATACCCCTGTCTGTGTCACTAGTACTGCCATACTCTCAGTCTCCCCAGTCTGAACTCTCAAAGACCCCTCCCCATCACCTTTTTTCCTTATCCAGCTACACCCATCAGGTCAGGTCTTTGAATTGAGTCTTCCAACCAGACAATTGTGACAGAATCAGACCAGAGCTCCCCTTCTCATCCTTACCTGGTACGGCTACTTACTTTACCATTCCTGTCAGCTCAGGGCGAGCTTAGGCCATATGATATCAATCACTGGCCCAGCAAGAAATATAGAAGAAATCCCTGGAAGAGGCAAGAAGAGCTCTTCTTAGAAGGAGGTTTATGCATGATACTTTGACGGATAATACACTAACACAAGGGATCTTAACATTTTTTGTGTTCTGGATCCCGTTGGAAGTGAATCTGGTGAAACCTGTGGAACCCTTCTCAAATTCAATGCATAAAATAAAAATACAGAGGATTACAAAGAGAACCAATTATTTTAAGGTGGAGTTATCTATATATGTGTATATATACACACATGTACATATATACACATACATATATGTGTATCTAAATGCATGGACTCCCAGGAATATATCTGCAGACACTCTAGGAGGTCCATGGACCCAAGGTTAAGAATCTCTGCCCTACAGAACCAGGAGAACACTGTACATAGTAACAGCAACATTGTGTGATGACCAACTTTGATAGACTTAGCTTTTCTCAGCAATACAATGATCTAAAGACAATTCCAAAGGACTCATGATGGAAAATGCTCACATCCAGAGAAAGAACTATGGAGTCTGAATGCAGATCAAAACATCCTGTTTTCTCTTTTTTTTTTCCTTTCTCGTGGCTTTTCCCTTTTGTTCTGATTCTTCTTTTACAACATGACTAATGTGGAAATGTTCAATATGAGTGTACGTGTATGGACTATATTAGATTGTGTGCCATCTTGGGGAGGGGAAATGAGAGGGGGGGAAATTTAGAGCTCAAAATCTTATAAAAGGGCAGCTAGGTGGCACAGTGGATAGAGCTCTGACCTTGGAGTTAGGAGGACCTGAGTTCAAGTCCTGCCTCAGACACTTGATACTTACTAGCTGTGTGACCCTGGGCAAGTCACTTAACTCTGATTGCCTCACTCCCCCCCCAAATCTTATAAAAGTGAATGTTGAAAACTAAAAATTAATTAATTTTTAAAAAGAATTCCTGCTTTAACAACCTCTCTCTTTACCCAAATTGAGGATCTTTTGCTCACCCTAATATCTGATAGCTCCTGCTCCATGCAACCCCATACCTCACCTACCTGGATTTCTGACTTCCGATAAGGGTGCATTGCATCCCTCATCACTGCCTGCTTTCCCAGTCCCAGAATTCAGCAGATGCCCTTCTCTTCCCAAAGTCCTCATATGCAAATCACTCTCCTAAACTAGCCTGCTCCCAGCCTCTCCCCCTCCAATCTCTTAACACTTAGCACGGTGCTTGGTACACAGTAAATGCTTAATAAAGGCTTTTCATTTCTTTTCATCCTTCTAATACCAGCCATCCTCCTCCAGAAAGCATTCCCTAGTCAAACCATTTGCTAGTTTTCTCCTCCCCCTCCAATCATCTTCCATTAAACTCTTCTGTGCACATACTGAACCCCACAAAACAGCAGACTCCTTGAGGGCAGAATGGTCCCTTTTTGTCTTTGTATCCCCAATACCTAGCTCATCGGACCTCATAGATGCCTTTTAAATGCTTATTGAATTTAATTGCTGAATCTTCCTAAAACTCAGCTTTGGTCATGCCCTTCCTCTCACTTTCTGTGGCTCCCTATCACCCCTGGGAGAAAAGGCTAAACTCCTTAGCCAAGAATTCCAAGTTCTCTCCCTGTCTCCTCTACCAAAAACTGAGCAGCATTTCTTCCTCCCATCTTTCAACATACATTTACTGGGGGCTATGGAAGAGACAGGGCTAAGAACTCACTGTCTAGCTGGGAAAATAGCTTTGTTCTTCCATACCCAAAATTACAATGCAAGGCCACAAGAGAGGTAGATGGGGGCTCAGAGGAGAGAGAAATCACTTCTGATAGAGATGAGATGGAACAGGGAAGCCTTCTTGGAGAAGATCACATTGGAACTGAGAGAGAAAGGAAGGGCAGGATATTGGCAGGCAGAGATGGAAGAGAAGACGTATTCTTCCATATGACTCTCTGAACATCCATTGGGAGTTTCATCTCCCCAGCCTGACTACAAGCTCCCCAAGGACACAGCCTGGTTCTTTCCTTTCCCCTGTCTTTCTCCACACCTCAGAGGCTGCCTGGCAGTGGGTTGGGCATATACTGAGCACCAATAAATGGTAGGTGTTTGATGGCTAAGGTGGTCCTTCTGGGAGACCTTTATCTTGATAAAGATAGGAATGGCTAAAGTTGACTTGCCCACTGACTCTCTCTTTGACCTGGGACAAGTAACTTTCTCAGTTTGGGCCTCAGTTTTCTTACCTGTAAAATAGTGTATACAACATGACCTCTTTTTAAGGTCCCTTCTAGTGTAGCAGCCTATAGGTTAACAGTTTGTGGAGATATCATCAATATCTCCTGGTCCAGTGGTTCTTGATCTGCAGACTCCTGTCAGTCTCAAAGTTACTGCAAAAGCTCCATCTCATGGAATGACTGACTCAGGGTAACAAAAGAGCAAACTATTTATCTTCTGCAGGCTAAACAAATACATTTGCCCATCTGTGTACATATCACTTATTAAAATATACATTATGATGAGTAAAGCATACATTATGATTAATAAAATACAAATTCATCTTGAATATGTGTATTTTCTCACCCAATGGACACAAATAATGCTACCACTTTTCATGCAGGGGGTCTTCATACTTGAAAAGGAAGGGAATCACTGACCTAAACCAAGTCCTTCTTTTAACAGATGAAGAAACTGAGGATCAGATTAGGGAAGTTATTTGCCCAAGGTCACATAGGTAGTAAGTATCAAAGTTTTGAGAATCTTCCATTGGTGGGAGTTCTGGGGCTGAGCTTAGAATAGGAAGGGGAAGAGCGCTTTTGGAAGCTGAGAAGAGATTCCAAAACCAGATTCAGCCAGCATGAGCTCCAGTATCCATCTGGCTGGAATATACTTATCCTCCTGGGAAGGATGAGCTGGGGCTTCAAAGCTCCCATTCTACTCAGCCTCATTACCTTGGGAGTTACCAGAGTTGCAGTAGATGTAAATACTGGATCCTAGCTCGCAGATTATCTTTCAGCCTGCATTTACCAGATTCACACCAAGGGTCTAACACAGTCCCCCATCACCCTTGTTCCCTTCTCTTTACAAGGCCACAAGGGAGTCCAGATGCCCAAAGATAGGACGGAAGTTACAACCCCTGCTTCTGGGCACTAAGGCAGGGCTCCCCAGACCCTCCCAGGTATAATGGGTACCTCTGGCTCACAGTGGGGTCATCAAGTGAAGGAAAGCTTCAAGGGGCCAGGACTCTTCCAGGGCTCTCCGTTACTGGCAGAGTGAAAGCCCAGACCACCAGACAGACTAGTAGGACCATCACTGTCAACAGCTGGTCAAGCCAATGCCGGAAAGACCTGGGGCTGGACTCAAGGAAGTAGGATACCACCTCCCCCATGTCACGTGGGTCCCTATTGTGTAGCTTCCTCCCCAAGGGCATCTGTTCCCTACACACCCTAGGACCAAAGGAAAGGAAGGAAATGAGGGAGGAGAATGGGGGGGGGAAGAGACCTGGGAGGATGAGAAACAGGGAGAGAACTAAGGATGTAAGAACCAAAGAGTAAGATGAGGCAGAACTAGGAGAGTGAGAGGTGAGAATGAAGATGTGAGAAGCAGAAAAAAACCGGAAGAATAAGAATGGGAGAAAAATTCGGGAAGTAAGAATGGGGAAAGAATTGGGAGAATGGAAATGGGGAGACCAGGAAGCATTGAACAAAAATAGTAAGTGTATAATTGAAACGCAAGATAACTTAGGGAATAGAGAGCAATGAGTTCAAGATGTCAGATATGGATGGACTATATCCTGTCTGTACTGATGACCTTCTTGGGTGTTAAAAGAACAGGGTTGGCAGATATGATTGCTGAGCCATGGTCAATGATCATTAAAGATTCTAGGAGAACAGGAGGGGTCTCATAGGATGGGAGAGAGGCAAATGTTTTGATTTCCAATGGGCCACTGAGCTTGACTCAGTTCCTGGAAAAATTGTAGCACCTTCTCCAAGGCTATTTCTGCAACTCCCACTTACATTGGTGGGTTTGGTCTCCAGAGGACAGGTGCTACTACCAATTTTAGGGATCTAGGGAGAATCCCGAGGGGCTAATTACTAGTACTTTGTTCACAAGCCCCCATCAGTGTGCTTTCAATTGTGAACCAGTCAGACTTAATTTGCTTTTTAGCAAAGGCATTTGCCAAGGTGGTTTAGTAAGAGGAATGAGGACAAAACATGTCCTCAAAAGTTTGTTTCCTCTTTCTTTTGTTTCCTCTTATTGGTTCTAATTCTTCCTTACAACATGACTAATGTGAAAATATGAAGGAGGGGAACGTAGTCCTTCTCCTCACCTGGTTCACATGAACAGAACCTTCACTCCCTGCTGGGGGGCAGGGAGGGGGAGGGAGGGACAGAGGGAGAGAGAGAGAGAGAGAGAGAGAGAGAGAGAGAGAGAGAGAGAGAGAGAGAGAGAGAGAAGGGGAATGCAGAATGTCTTCTTCCAGAATCTAGTCCCTGACTTCTACATAGTGTTTCCATGATAGGTGATCTTGGAATGAATAAAGTTTCCAAGTAGTCACTATTAGGACATGGGAAAATGCCTCTTGAAAAAGGGATGAGAAATGAGAATTTTTTTTCAAGGTTAAGTGACTTGCCCAGCATCACATAGCTAATAAGTGTCTGAGTTCACATTTGAACTCAGGTTCTCCTCACTTCAGGGCCAGTGCTCTATCCAATGTACTACCTAGATGCCCCTCTCATATACAACCTAAAATCAACATGCCCCAAACTGAACCCATTATCTCTCCGCCTCAACTCTTCCTGCCTCCAAACTTCCCTATTACTGTTGAGTGTCACAACAATATTTCTAGTCCCTTAGGTTTGCAACCTTTGTCATCCTCAATTCCTCTTTCTCTTTCATCTCCCCACTCCCACTCCCATATCCAATCTGTTCTCAAGGCTGTCAATTTCACCTTTGTAACATCGAATATTTCTTTTATCCTCTGATACTGCCACCACCCTGGTGCAGGCCCTCATCACCTCAAGCTGGATTATTGCAAGACTATTGCAATAGCTGCTAGTGGGTCTGCCTGCCTCCAGCCTCTCACCACCCTAAGCCACCCTCTATTCAGCCACCAAAGTGATTATCCTAAAGTGCAGTTGTTGGGTTTTTTTTTTTTAGGCAACTGGGGTTAAGTGATTTGCCCAGGGTCACACAGCTAGTGAGTATCAAGTGTTTGGTTTGAGGATGCATTTGAACTCAGGTCCTCCTGACTTCAGAGCTGGTGCTCTCTCCACTGCGCCACCTAGCTGCCCTACCTAAAGTGCAGTTCTGACCATGTCAGCTTCCTACTTAATAAACTCCAGAGGCTTCCTGTTACCTTCAGGATCAAATGCAAAATGCTCTGTTCAGCTTTCAAAACCTTCATAAACTAGTCCCACTCCACTTTTTCAGTCTTCTTGCACCTTACCCTTTGCCATGTACTAGTGACAATGGTCTCCTGGCTGTTCCATGAACAAGACACTCTATCTCTTTGGCTCTGGGCATTTTCTCCCACTGTCCTTCATGTCTGAAATGCTCTCCCTTCTCATCTCTGCCTTCTGGCTTTCCTAGCTTCCTGTAAGCCCCATCTAAAATTGCATATTCTACAGGAAGCTTTTCCCAACCCCTCCTAAACCTAGTGCCTTCCCTTTCTTAATAATTTCCTATTTATTCTGTATGTTTGTACATAGTTTTTGCCTGTTGTCTTCCCAATACCTTGTTGTACATGTTTTTGGAGGTTCTGAGCTCCTTGAGGGCAAAAACTGTTCTTTGCCTCTTTTTGTATCCCCAGAACTTGGCAAAGCACCAGGAAGAATAGTAGGTGCTTAATAATTAATGATGAGGGCTTGCTGAGTTAACTGAAGGAACTAGGAACTTGAGGCGTTTTTTGGGTCCCTACACTACCTTGGCTTTCGTGAATTTTCTACTAACCTGTGTTGGTATGAAGAGAAATAAAGTCTAGGGTTTACCGTGGATATGCACATAAAAAATAAAGATGAATTTTTCATAAAAAAAGCCTTATTCAGTAAACAGTTTTGTTTCACTATCACCTTTTGGAATATTTCAGTGAGATAACGTATTTATTTATGAAACATTCCTTCAACCCCCTTGACACTTCTCTCTACCCTCTGGCAGACCCCTACGCTCTAAAATGAAGGAGTGGAGAGATGAAATTAATCCCAGGCCCCGCCCTTAGCCCTCAGGCCCCGCCCTTGGCCCGCAGGCTCCGCCCTTAGCCCGCAGACCCCGCCCCCAGACTATCCTGTCAGTCTGGGCCAGGTCACACCCCCTAGGTCCCGCCTCCTGTTCATCGTTCCTCGCCCCAGCTGCGTCTTCCGGAAACTCTGAGGACTCCCAGCAGGCCGTTCGGCGGCCCTACTTCCGGGGGCGGGAGAGAAGATGGCGGCCTCCAGGCGGAGCTGCCGCTGCTGAAGCGACTGCCGGGGAAGCGGCTCCGGGAGGTGAGAGTCGAGGCGGGGACAGCTCAGGACAGGCTGCGGCGGAGCTTCGGAGCCCCGGCCGGCGGCCAGCGCCTTGGGAGGGAGGCGAGAGTGGGAGGAATGGCGGGCCCTGCCCGCTGGTGCGGGGGGAGGGAGGGCGGGGGGCTACACCTCTCGGGGCTTCTGCATCCTCCCCTGGGAAAGGATGCATATGGACCAGGTAATCTCCGAAGCCCCTGCCAGCACCCTCGGTCGGTGTCCTGGTGCTTGGCGTATCGTCTGCCTCCTCCTTGCCTTTGCTTAGGCGGCACTAACCCCCATGCCTGCAGTGCATTCCCTTCTAGTTTCTGTCTTTTAGAATCCCTGGTTCTTTCCCAGGCTCAACTCGGAGCAGTCTTTCCTGATCCATCGAGCTGCTAGCGCCTCTTCCGGAAATTACCTTGTGTTTATTTCCTGTGTATTTTGTGTTTATTTACACCGGCATGTATTTTCTCCTGATAGAATGTCAGCTGCTTGAGGGAAGGGTCTGTTTCGCTTTTTTGTGTTTGTTTAACCTGTGACTAGCGCTGGTCCTGCTCGACCACAAGTGTTACCCCAAGTTGGAGAACCTTAGGAGCAAAGACGCTAGGGGCCCTTCCAACTCTGAGATTGTGTATTCTCTGTTCATCGTTCTGAAGTCTCTTCTAACTCCAGCGTTGTGTCCTTTGTTCTAAAATCTCTCCCACCTCTGACATTCGACATTCTGGGTCCTACAGGCTCCCCAGGTCTGACATTCAGTGTCCTAAGGGTCCTCCCAGCTCTGATATCCTGTGTCCTGAGGGCCCTCCCTGCTTTGACATTTCAGTGTTCTAAGGGCCCTCCTAGTTCTGACATTTCTGTTTTCTAGGGGCCCTTCCAGTTCCAACATTCTGTGTCCTTTGTTCTAGAATCCCTCCCAGTTCTGACAGCCTGTGTTCTTAGGCCCCCTCCTCCTCCCAGAGCTGACATTCTGCCTTCTAAGGCTTCTCCTAATTCTGATATTAAACCTATACTTTACTTCCCTTTCAAAGCACTCACAGATTGAATGCCACTTGTTCTTCTCTTAGACCAGATAATTACTCTTTGTTCAGCACAAACTGGAGCTATTGAAAAAAAGATATAGTCCCATGGTATACAGCAGTAAAAAATTGTTGCATCATTATGGCCCCTCATAGCATGGTTTATGAGTACATTATCTCTGTGTCATTCCTCATGATACAAGGTTAGGATTAGCATATCTATTTTTCCACCTAATGGTATTCTATTTTTTCCAATAACATATGAAGATAGTTTTCAACATTCATTTTTATAAGATTTGGAGTTCCAAATTTTTCTCCCTCCCCCCCTGGTGTTCCCCCCTCCCTAAGACAGCAAGCAATCTGATATAAGTTATCATGTTAAACATATTTCCACATTAGTTATGTTGTGAAAGAAGAATCAGAACAAAAGGGAAAACCATGAGAAAGGAAAAACAGTAAAAAAACCAACAGCAAAAGTGAAAATGTATGCTTCAGTATGCATTCAGACTTCATAGTTCTTTCTCTGGATGTAGACAGCATTTTCCATCATGAGTCTTTTGGAATTGTCTTTGATCATTGTATTGCTGAGAAGAACTAAGTCTATCATAGTTGATCATCATACAGTATTACTGTTACTGTGTACAACGTTCTCCCGGTTCTGCTCACTTCACTCAGCATCAGTTCATGTAAGTCTTTCCAGGTTTTTCTGAAATCTGCCTGTTCATTTCTTACAGCACAATAGTATTCCATTTCATTTATATACCACAACTTGTTTAGCCATTCCCCAATTGATGGCCATCCCTTCAATTTCCAGTTGTTTTCCACCACAAAAAGAGCTGCATAAATGTTTTTGTACATGTGGGTCCTTTTCCTTTTTTATGATCTCTTTGGGATACAGACCTAGTAGTGGTATTGCTGGATCAAAGGGTGTGCACAGTTTGGTCGTCCTTTGGGCATAGTTCCAAATCGCTCTCCAGAATGGTTGGATCAGTTCACAACTCCACCAACACTGCATTAGTGTTCCACTTTTCCCACATCTTCTGCAACATTTATCATTTTTCTTTTCTGTCATATGAGCCAATCTGATTGGTGTGAGGTGGAACCTGAGAGTTGTTTTAATTTGCATTTCTCTAACCAATAGTGATTTAGAGCATTTTTTCATATGAGTATAGATAGCTTTAATTTTTTCATGTGAAAACTGCCTGTTCGTGTCCTTTGACTATCAGTTGGAGAACAACTTGTATCCTTATAAATTTGACTCATTTTTCTATATACTTGATAAATGAGGCCTTTATCAGAAACATTGGCTGTAAGAATTGTTTTCCAGCTTTCTGCTTTCCTTCTAATTTTGGTTGCATTGGTTTTGTTTGTGCAAAACCCTTTTAATTTAATGTAATCAAACTATCCCTGGTACTGTTTCAGAGGGGTTGGCCTGTCTTCTGAGCTGAGTTTCCAGTTTGAGCTTGAGGTCCCCAGCCATGGAGCCAGTAGAATCGGGAAGTACTGCAGATGAGGAGGAGGAGCGGGTGATGGAGCAGAGGCCTAGGACCAGATCCAATCCAGAGGGAGCTGAAGACCGAGCCCTGAGTGCCCAAGCTAGCGTGGGGAGTCGGAGTGAAGGCGAGGGTGAGGCAGCCAGTGCTGATGACAGCCCACAGAATCCACCTAGCATCAACGGCAAACCCTGGCAAGTGCCACCGCAGACTCCAGAATTTCAGGTCCGGACTCCCAGAGTCAATTGCCCAGAGAAGGTGGTGCGTATCTGCTTCTGGCTTGAAGAATTGGGAGACTTTTGTTTTAGCCCTAATTGTGGTGGCACAAGCCTGCGGTGCAGAGCTCTCAGTTGCACAGACATGATGGCATGGGAGGACCCAGAAGGAGAGGGCACAGGGAACCATGTATCTGTATGGTCCAGAAGGCTTCCGGGGTCCCATACCCAAAGAGACTTTTTGCTTTCCTTTTTCTAGGATACTGTATTGAGTACAGGAGTCAGGGGATCATTAAACACCAGAACTCACTTTGCAGCCTGGTGCAGTCCTCTGGGAAGCTGCTTTTAGAGTAACCTTATTTTCATCTAGGTGCTGAATGAAGCCAGTTGGCCAAGAACTGATGTTTAGTTCCTTTTGTACCCTTTTCCCCAGCCAGAGTTCGGAGGAGCCTGGGTTCTTATCTTGGCTTTGCAAGAGCAGCCCCTTCCTGGAGCCCCAGTTTCCTTACCTATAAAATGAAGAGGGTTGGACTAAAGGATTTTTAAAAATTAAATTTTATTTTTTTGAATCAGTGAAAGTCCATTTTCCCCTTATTCTCCATGCCCCCCCCTGCCCCCTTGAGAATGAAATGAAAAGAAAATCCCTGTTCAAAACATATATAGGGAAACACAATAAATTTTCACATTGGCCATTCAAAAACCTATGTCAGTCTGCACTCTGAGTCCATTGCCTCTCTGTCGGGAGGTAGGTGGCATGTTTTATTGCATGTATCCTCTGGAATTGTGGCTGGTCATTGAGTTACTCAGAATTCCTAAGTCTTTCAAAGCTGTTTGTCTTTGCAATATTGTTATTAGTATATTAATAGTTGTACGGATCAATTCATACAAGTCTTCCCAGAGTTTTCTGAACTCAGTGATCAAAAAAATCTCTTCTAACTGTAATGGCCTGGAATTCTAGTACATTATCTCTGGTTCATGTCAGAGCTGGGCTGCTTGGGACTTCCTGGTAAAACTGGAAATTCCCGCCATTCTAGATGGAATAGGTGCCCACCGTGCCCACAATTAGACTGGGTTGTATTATTGTTATTAGCTCGCTTAGTACTTGGCACCTCCATTGATCCTTATCACAATCTTGTAAGGTAGGATTTTTTGGTCCCATTTTACAGATGAGAAACTGAGGCTCAGAGAGACTAAATATGTTTTGTCTAGGGTCACACGTTTAGTACATAGTAGAGTTTTTAAATCTTACAAAGAGTCTTAGGTAGGTTTTTGCTAAATCCTTGTTGGTTAATTTAAGCTATAACCAAGATTGTGGTGTCTCAAGTGAATCCCTCTTTTTAAAGGAATCCTATTCTTGGGGTGACTTTTCTTTTATTAGAAAAGAAGTCCTGGGGCAGCTAGGCAGCGCAGTGGATAGAGCATCGGCCCTGGATTCAGGAGGACCTTAGTTCAGATCCAGCCTCAGACGCATAACACTAGCTGTGTGATCCTGGGCAAGTCACTTAACCCTGTTGCCTAGACAAAAAAGAAAAGTCCTAATGGTGGGGCCAGCACAATTGACCTGGGGTGACATTATTACTTTGCAGCTTGCCTGAGGTTCAAGGGGCTGAATGATTTGCTGGGGTTGGACTGGACAGGGAGGTGGGTTTAAGTGGATGTTAACTGTTCTTCATATATCCCCCCCCCCTTGCCTGTAACACAGATCATATGCCTGGACCTGTCAGAGGAAATGTCTTTGCCAAAACTGGAGTCATTTAATGGGTGAGAGGTTTTTTTCTCCCCTAATTTATAAGCCTATTTGGACTCTCTGATCCTACATTCCTTCCACCTTTGGATCCTTAGGTGAGGACAGATGGGAAGATTGGAGTAACAAAAGTGAAATTGGTCCTGTGATGCCTTCGCAGAGGGCAGAGGGGACCTATGTATTGCGGGAATCACTTTGTCAGCATGTGAAGCATTAGTTGGAGAGGAAAAAGAAATTAGAAGACCAGTTAAGAAGCAGTTAGACTAATGTAGTCAAGAGGAAAACTAGGTTGATAGCAATAGGAATGAGAAGGAGAGTGGAATCAATGTGATTTGGCAACTGATTGGACAGGAAGTATAGAGGGCAAAGCCAAATTTGTAGTTAGCTTAGCTCTTTTGGCAGCATATCAGTTGTGATCTTATTTGGAGGGAAAGGGGGACCATCCAGTCAGATTTCTGTGGGGCAGAAATGCAGAGCATGAAAAGGGACTAAATGACCAAGGTATACCTCTGTTGCATGGGTGGGTGGAGGATATCTTAGCCTGATTCTCCTCTGGCCTTGGGATGCCACAGAACATAACACTAACTGACGGTGACTGTAGAGTCCCCTGTGACTTAGCCCAGACAAGTGACCTCTTCGTGGAGCCTCCATTCCCAAGATATGTCGTAAGTTTTGAGGGTGCCTGTCCTTGGAGAAACCATAGTGGCTCTCCATCCCTGAAAGGTGCCTTGGCACTGCCTAGAACCCACTGAATGTCCTCTGTCATCCCTGACCAGCTCAAAGACCAACGCCCTGAATGTGTCCCAGAAGATGATCGAGATGTTTGTTCGGACGAAACACAAGATTGACAAGTGCCATGAGTTTGCCCTCGTGGTCATAAATGACGACACCACATGGGTGAGTGAGTGTGGGAGGAGTCCCTGCTCCTCTTCTCCTTCCCCTTCTGCTTCTTTTCCCTTACTCCTTTTCCATTTCCTGGGAAGATATTAGAAGTCCACCTGATCTCCAGCTTCCAGCCAGGGCCTTTCCCTTACCTTAAGTGAATCACAAATGGTCATATTTAGGTGGACCTGACCTTAGAACATAGAACGCAGGATATCAGAGATGGAAGTGCTTTCTAATCCTAGAACTGGAAAGGACTTTAGAACATGGAACATAGAGCTACCTGGAACCTTAGAACATAGGGAATCAGAGTCAGGAGAGGTGTAAAATGTAGTATGTCTGAGCTCAGTATCACTGAGACCTCAGTGATTGGCCAACTCGTCCACCCCAGTTCATTTTGCAAATGAAGAATGAGGTTCCAGGGGGCAGTGTACTAGTAGGTGACAGAGAGTCGAACCAAAGTCCCCTGTCTGTAAGTCTAGTGGTCTTTCTGTTATACAGCTTTGTCCTTCTATGACAACATGTAAGTTTGACCTAAGCTCGTGAGAAACCACAGACAACAGAGGCAAGGTGTTTGATGAGAACTGCCAGTTAAATTGAAGCTCCCTCATTACTGAGCCCTGTAACCCCTCCCCCCTTTGCCCTACCTCAGATCCTCAGAAAAAGTTGATTAGTCTAAGGGGGACCTTGGGGATGGAGACTGTTGTAGGACCATTTGAGCTTACATGTAGAAGAAATAGTACCTGCCCCCAAAGAGCTGTCTGCCTATCAAATGGTTATCTGGGAGGTGGGACCTACAGACCAAGAAAGGCAAACAGGTGAGCAGCCCTGGTTTTGTTTTTAGCTCTCAGGCTTGACTTCTGACCCCAGGGAGCTGTGCAGCTGCCTCTACGACCTCGAAACCGCTACCTGCATGGCCTTCAGTATCCTTCTGAAAGGGCCAAGGGGGAGGCTGGGGCAGGGATGGGGAGGGGACCCACAACACCTAGTGTAGAGAGGAAGGGGTTCAGTGGCCCTGTAGAAGAAGCATTACTCACTGCTAATGGCATCACCTCCACAGTTGTCAGAAAGAGAGTCTCTCCCTTGATATCACCAGCCTTGCCAACTTCCCAGGCTCTTCTGTTCTTTCCCCACATTCTGTTCTGCCCAATTCCTCATTCCCTTTCCAGCCTATGTTTTTCTACTTCGGTGGCTCCTGTGGTGACTTGATCACCCCACAGTAATTATCAAAAGGCTCTTTGTCATCATTGGCCTTCCTGCCTTTTCCTGTAGTGGGACGTGGACTCTTGTTTGTAAACTAGACTAGAATGGGAGGGCTTCCTATCCTTTTGGGGGCAGATTGAAATGAGGCTTTGAGAGATAGGAGGGTAACAGAAGACACTCAGGAGTTGTGGAGGCCTTGAAGAAGGAGCCCCGCATTTCCAGAGATGGTGATCTGGTCCTCAAGAGAACTGGTCTCTGGCATTTTCACTGGTCCTTATCTCTTGCATACCAGACTTGGACAGCCTTTTCAACCTTATGTAAGTTGTTGCTATTGTCATTTCCTGACACAAAGATTAGAAAGTCTTGGTGTTTTAGGCAGCAGGGTACCATGTTAGCAGAATGTATTTTGAAGGGCCTGGCATGACATCTCTTAAGTATTAGTTGACAGGATGTCAGAGGTGCTCTGAAATGTTACATACCCCTTTCTCTCCACTGGTCTAGACAGCAGAAGATTGAGCTTCCAGTCACAGAGAATGTCCAGACCATCCCACCACCCTATGTAGTGCGGACCATCTTGGTATACAGTCGCCCTGCCTGCCAGGCCCAGTTTGCCATGATGGAGCCCATAAAGGTAGGTGAGAAAAAGGTTAAGATGTCTGGAGAAGAACCACTCTTCCAAATCTGGTGACCAGATGATCCAGGAATAGGTTTCTGGAGTGCTAGTCCACTGCCATGATCATCCCATTCTCCTGCTCAAAACCCGCCAATGGCTCTCCAGTCACTATCAATGAAAGTCCAGAATCCTTCTCTGACATTCACGATCCTTCTCAATCTGGTTCCACCTTACCTTTCTAGCCTGATCTCACACTACTTTCTTTCCTGCACACTCTGTTGTAGCCAGACTGGACTGCTGAGCTCTCCTAGTTCATCCTTTACTCTTCTTCCTCTGTTCCTTTTTTTTTTTTTGCACCATTCCTATACATGGAATGACCTCTCCTCATTGCTTTCTGTTGACAATCCACCTGCCCATCAAGGCTCAGTTTAGATACTACCCTCTCTTAAAGTCTAAAATCTCCTTGAGCTAGAGGTGACTTCTCCCTAACCCATCTCATAGCACCTTGTCCCTCCAGACAGTTACCATATTCTGCTTTGCATTTCATACATCTCTTGTTGGATGATGAGGTCTTTGAAGGCAAAGACCTTGCCTTATTTATCCCCCTTCTCCCTCTCTGTGTGATAGCGGGCATAGTGTAGTGCACATAGTTACTTAGTAAAGGGTGGAAATGTGCCAGGCTGGAGTGGACGGGCACACCAGGGCCATTTCCATTTAGACTGCCATCACGAAGAACTTCCTAACTCTGTGTTGTTGAACATGGGCAGTGGGCTGCTGTGGGATCCATTTCCTTTGATGAGAGAGAGAACCCTCTTTGTCAGCAGAAGATTTAGGAGTCATATCTGTATGGAAGTCATGGAGCTGATGCAGTGTTTTCTTGCCACCCTAAAGTTTTGGTCAGAATAGTGTCTGTGAAATGCTTTATCTGTATTTTCACTTTGCTCCTCATAGCAGCCCTGTTGTTGGTGTGCTGGACCATAGGTATTAGCCCCATTTTACAGATAAAGGAACTGAAGCTTGAGGTCCTTTCGGACACAGCTAATGGTCAGAAGTGGAATTTAACCCCAGGTCTCTCCTGACTCCCAGGCCAGCTCTCTTTCTAGTAAAGCATGCTACCTTTTTGATTTCTGAAAAAAAGTTTGCTGTTTTTCCTTCCCTGTAGAAGATGCTTCAGTGTCCGTACTTCTTTTTTGATGTGGTATATATCCACAATGGTACCGAGGAAAAAGAAGAGGAGACCAGCTGGAAGGTGAGATGAGAGATGAGGGCAAGGCTGCCAACTATAGAAGGGTGAACTTGGCTCGAAGTCCTGGTAGAAGGGCTTTTTATGGAAGGGCTTTAGGTTTCCCATCTGAAAAATGTGTTTGGGGGGGTGGCAGGGCCGGACTAGATGAACTCGAAAGTCCCTTCCAGCCTTGACATTCTATAGGGCTGTGGGTCTTTGGGGCAAAAGGACAGACGGTTGGCTTGTTGGCTGAGCAGCGTGGACCCTCAGCCCCCTGAGTCTGTGCCAGACAACTGTCTGATGTGTCATAGCCTGAAAAGTGTTGGGAGGCCCCAGCCTCAACAACAGACTGCCTGGTGAAATTATACATTTGAACGTGGACTATAAAACATAGACTGTCAGAACTAGTGGGCGTCTGAGAAATCAGAGTGTCAAAGCTGGGAGGGCAGCACGGGAATGATAACGATTGTTTGTATGGTCTAGGACACTGAGGCTCAAGAGAAGTCATAGCTTACTCAGTGGTACACGTTTTATAAGTGACCGAAGGACGAGGATAGGAGTAGGATAACTCTTGACTCCCAAGTCCAGAGTTTTCCAACCATATTAGGCTGCCTCTGAAAAACCGAGGCCACATCCTGACGTATACTGGCTGTGTCCCCCTGGGTGGGTCACTGCCAGGGCCCTCAGGCCGTACTCTAAGACCTTCATTTGCAGAGAAGAGTCTACTGTGCACGGGTGAAGGAAACTTCACCAGGAACTCCAGACAGCCGTAAAAATCACAGGTTTGGGCCCCCCTCCCTAAAGGACAGGGCAGCTGTGGCCTGAATTTGCTGAAGGCAGCCAGCATAACTTCCTGCATCACCACTTAGTCTCACCCCTTGCCTCATCAAAAAACATAGCTATTTAATATAGGAAATGGGGTACAGAAGTTTATCCTGCCCTACAGGAAAATAGAAGGGGAAGGGGATAAGAGAAGGGGAGAGAGATAGAAGAGAGGACAGACTAGGGGAAGGGATATTCAGAATGCATGCCATCTTGGGGTGGGGGGAGGGGGGAGACGGGGTGAAAATTTGGAACTCAGAAACTTGTGGAAGGGAATGTTGAAAACTAAAAATAAATAAATTTGTATTTTTAAAAGAGCAAAAAACCCCAAACAAACAACATAGCTATTTGAGGGTGGTTACCGGGTTTGGAGAGCCCTTTCCACATATTCCTGTCCCTAGAGCTGTCCATTTTGGAATGGAGGAAGACCAGAGCTAGGGGGTCTTTGCCTTCCCCTGAGCCAGGGGACCTCTCTTTTGATTGCCTGTGCATAGGACCTCACCTTTTGTGTGTGCATGTGGATGCATATGTGCCCATATTTCATGGTCTGTGGCCCCTTCTTGCCCTCACCTAGGATACATACGCCCTCTTTGGAGGCTTGGATTCCAAAGGCACCAGCTATAAGTATGAGGTTTCTCTGGCAGGACCAGCTGTGGAGCTGCACAACTGCATGGCCAAACTCTTGGCCCACCCTTTGCAGAGACCTGTCCAGACCCATGCCTCCTATAGCCTCCTGGAGGAAGAAGAATCTGCTGAAATGGAAGCCACCGTTTAAGGCCAGCCTCAAGCTTCTAGGCTCTTTGCTCTCCTCCTTTGCGTGGAATGAACTCTCTTTCCATAGGCCCTGGAAAAGGGTCCTTAAGGACAGAGGTTGTGGCCCCAGTGGAGATGGTGGCTCTTGGGGAAGGTCCAGTCAATGACTGATCTGGGTGCATGGGCCTGTCTTGCCACAATGCTAAATTGCAGCCTGTGGGCCTCATGATGGCAAATTTTGACTGTGTATTAAATTCTCAGTATCGTGTTCTGGACCTGGGCAGGTGGTTATCTTTTGTCCTTCCCCTAGGTCTTGGCATCATGCCCACAATGAGGGGAATATTGCTGCCCTTTACTCTGGCCATATCATATTTAGAGTACTTTGTTCAGTTCTGGGTGAAACTTTGTGTCAAACATTGCTAAGTTCTGGGGATAAAAACACAAAATCTACAGTCCCTACTCAAGGGTTTTATGTTCAAGTAGGCCACATTTTAGGAGAAATAGTTTTGAATGAACATGATCAGAAGAGGGAAACCAGCCAGGGGTGGGGGAGAAGGTTGGAATCCATGCCATGAGGAAGGTTTAGCCTGGAGAAGAACAGACTTAGAAGGGACATGATGTCTCTCTTTGAAGGTGTGCAGGGCTGTGAAGTGGAAGGAGTGACCAAACTTCCTTAGTTTGGCCCTAGAGGGCAGCAGTGGGCAGAATTTCAGGGAGGCAGATTTGGCTGTATGCCAGCAAAATTCAGACCCTAATCAGAGGGTGAGCACTTGTCAGAAGTACTGTCCATCGGGCAGAAATGGAACTAGAGGCTATCTGAAGTGTTTTCTGCCTCTGAGATCAGGGCTTGGCTGTGGACAGGAGGAGGGGCATTGGGGGCATTAGCAGAAAATTGCTACTTCATGCCTGAGAATGAGACCAGTTGACTGCCTTAGTTATGCAGTCTGGTACAGTGGAAAGACCATTCACTGGTTCTAGAGTCTGAGGACGTGGGTGCAAATTCCATCTCTGATGAATAACACCTATGTGACCTTGGCCATGTTACTTCACCTGCCTCGGTCTCTGAGCCCCCTTCCAGTTCCATATTCATGGTCCAAAGGCCGAGGTCCAACTGGACTATTTAGGACTTGGGCTTGGAGTGTTATGGAACTTTTCCCAATCAGATTTTCTCCATGGAAGCCCATCATTTAATGAATCAGTGGGATTAAGAATCCTTTACCCTGTATTGGAACAAAATTAGTCCTTATTGTTCCCTGAAAAGACAATCAGTACCAAGATAGTGGGGGAATTACTGGGAATGTTGAGTATGGAGAAGAGACAGCTTGAGAGGAATAGGTGTATTCTTTAAGTGTCTTGAAGGCCATGGCCTTTGAGGGCAGAATTAGCAATAGAGTATAGCTTTCACTTCAACATAAGGGACATCCTGACAAATGGCACTGTTTGAAAGTGGAATGGGTTGTCTGGGGAGATAGTGAATACTCAGTCAGGTAGCAGGGATAGAAGGGATTCCTGTTCTGGTGGGAGTCAGACTGGAGACAGTGGGGCTCCCTTTCGAATCAAAGATTCTGTAATTCAGTGATAACTGAAAATATTTTAGCTTAAACTGTTTCGGTGACATGTTCAGAAAATCACAGTATCAGCCTAAGAATTCATGGTGTCCATGATCAGCTTCTTGGAGACCTCTAGTGATGAGGGATTAATTGGCAGCCTTATTTCATCACCAACAGCTCTGATTACTAGGAAGTTCATCTTCACATTGATTTGGTTTGGAATGGTCCCCAGGTACCAAGTATCCAATCATTAGTAAGTCCCCTCTGGTCAGCCACTGTGGGCAGTGGCCAAATCCTGAGGAAGCATCTACCCTTTCCCGTCTTAGCTGTGTTGTCCAGTGCTGGAGACAAATAATGGCCGCTGTTTCATTTCAGGCTGACTTCAGCCACTGACCTGGGTTTAACCTTGGGAGGGGAATTGCAAATCAGAGGGAAGGAAGGCCCTAAGCAAGGGTAGCTAGTGGCTGGACTGCTGTCAGGGGAGTCAGGGAGCCCAGGCCCTTGGCCTGCCTGTGCCCCAAACCTCTCCCAAACAGCCTGCTAGAACTAGCTTCACTCGTGCCTCCCCATGTTATCTTGGGTAAATCCCTTTCCGGTCCCATGCCCTCGTTTGTGCAGTGAATGAGACTCTCCTAGCTCTTGGGCACGCTCTGGGTGGGAGAGTTGTCCACTGCTGCCCCTCACCCCGTAGCCTCACGCTTTATCGCCTAGGTCCAGGCGCCCTCCAGCTGCTTATCTCAGTTGCTCGGGGGCCTGGGCGAGGTAACCGGCGAGGTAACGGGTCTGATCCAAGGGCTCGGCAGTCGCAGATGCGGCAGCACATCTGGCGCCGCCCCTGCCCTAGGCCGCTGACAGTGCCCGCCTATAGCGCGGCTGCTGGGGCCGCGCAGGCGCACAGGGCAGCGAGGGAAGTTCGAATGGCCGCAATGGGACCGTGGACAGAGGATGGCCCCGGCTTGGCCAGTCCCGGGAGAGGCTTGAGCGCTGCCTCCCCGGGGCTGGCGCGGAGGCTTCGAGAGGCGCTGCTCGAAGGGCAGACGCGGTGAGGGGCGGGACCGCTGCACCCCCTCCTGCGCTGCCGGGGCTGCGGGCCTTCCGCCCAATGGAGGGAAGGGCTGGGGAGTTCGGGGCTCTGCTCCCCGTGGGTCCCGGGGCTCGGCTCCTCCGGGGGCCCAGAGCTCGGCCGAGGAGTCGGGGATCTGCTCCCCCTGGGGCTCGGGGCCCAGCCGGGGGCGCTAGGGGCTTTGGAGCCCGATCCAGGCTCGACTAGCTCCAGCTGGGACCCCAGCTCCAGCCCCAGGATTCTCTGCTCCCTGCAGGGAGGTGGAATCGCTGCTGAGGCTCGGGGCTGACCCCAATCTGGTGCTCCCGGACGGCGTGGCAGCCGTCCACCTGGCGGCGGGAAGCGAGCGGGAGAACGGCCTGCAATGCCTGGCCGTGCTGCTGCAGCACGGAGCGGACCCCAATGCCCGGTACCGCGCCAGGACTCGGCGCTCCCCAGGCACCTCGGGACACAGCTGGACCCTCCCCTACATGGCCCTGGGACCAAAAAACCCTTCAGTGGAGATTAGGAAATTCCTGCCCCCACTTCCCCTTCCCGCCCAAACCAACTCTCATCAGCAGCGTTCTCTACAGGGGGGCCCTGAGAGTAGGGAACTGACCTGTGACAACCCTTCAAGGACCCTCCTCCACCAATCTGGAGGCGGGGCGGGGCTCCTACTATCAGGAAGACCCTGGTCTAAGGACACAGCTTGTGATCCCAGGGTCTGACTGCCCCTTATCTCTAGGTCGGAGGATGCCCTGACCCCTGTGCATGTAGCTGCTTCCTGGGGCTGTTACAAGTGCCTGGAACTCCTTCTGAGGGAGGGAGGTGACCCTGAGCTTCAGGACCAGGTGCCTAGGGGCTCTGGGGGTCTGGAGGGCTGGTGTTGGGACTTAGGGTTTCTTTAGTGGGTGGGGAAAGGCGGGGTCCTCTAGTGTGTGATTAGCACTAGGTCCCGTGGGGTGGGGAGGGCTGGTCTCCTCAAGGTTCTGCTTTTAGGATGGGAAACGAGCTCTGGAGCTCGCCCTGGAGCAGGGCAACGAGGCATGTGTTGAGATCCTGAGGGAGCATGCTGGCTCTGAAGAGGCGCCCCTCGGCCCAGCCCTTTGCAGAGGAGAAGATCAAGGCAAGGATTTCTCAGCCCTAAATAGAGATGACCTTGACACCAGCATCTGGGGACTTTCAGACGTGGCATTTAGCCCGATGCCTCCGGGCAGCCTAGTCAGACACCATCTGGAAGGGAGTGAGGCAGAGAGCGAGGCTTTGGAGGCTGGGTACACCCTCCCAAGCCAGACTCTCCCAGCTCATCCTAAGCCTGACTTCAGCTTCCCTGCACCCTTCTTTCCCCAACCCACTTCCTCACCTTCCCCAACTCCTAAGTTGGGTCCTGTGGCCCACTTGCCACTGGATGACATCTCCCCAGACCACAGCTGCCTCTTTCACCCAGGCCCAGACTATTCCTGTGAAGATCAAGATGAGACAGTCCCCAGCTCTCTCCTTGCTGATACGAGCTCCTCCTCTAGCGACTCCTTCTTCACTGCAGTGGAAGCCTTTGGCCCTGACGCCCAGGTGCCCAATGCTGTCCCCTCCAGCCCCATCACCCCAGATGCCACTGGGGCTACCATCTCAGCCCAGGAAGGATGGGAGTGGGTCCCAGCCAAGCAGCATGGCAGGGACCAGCCCCACCCTACTAGCGCCCTTGGACATGTGTTCCCCAGATAGCAGGACTCCCCAAACATCAGGGTCCCCCAGGAAGGATCTGGCCTATGCAGACCTGAGGGCTGAGCTCAGGGCCATGATACTGAATGCTGGGCACTCCCAGGCCACTCTAGATGAGCCACACATGCTACCGGCCAATATGGACCCTGTGGTCCATCTGAATGCTCAGCTGAGGGGACTGGTTCTGGGTTTTCCCCCTAGAGCCCCAAGATGTTACCACTAGGACACCCTGCAAGGTCCAGGGTTTGGTCTCCCACAATGGTGAGGGCAACAGCTCCTTCCTTTCTGATGAGAGTGTGGAGCGGGGCCCTCCCCTGAAGACGCTGCCCAGAAGGTGTGGCCCAGGCTCTGTAAACAATGAGAGTCCCAGGGAAGGAAAGTACCTAACCCTGGACAGTTTAGAAGAGGCTAGAGCAGTTCCCCTCACCACCCAGACTGGCAACTTGGTAGTGTTCACAGAAGATGCCCCATTTAGTGAATTCCTGACTGATGACAAGACTTCCCAGAGTAGTGAGGATGAGGCTATCATGTGGCTGACAGAGGATGGTGAAGATGAAGAGGACCATATCCCCCAAGGCCTCAGAGCCAGTTCCTGCTGGAATTCCGGGAGGAAACCTCTAGAACCACCTATGGTCCGTCCAATCCTGCATCCTCAACTGCTCCCCGTGGAACAGTCCCTGCAGACTTCTGGGCCCAAGCCCACAGAACCTCTGCATACTGATCCCAAGGCTGGGCCCAGCTTCCTTGACCAGCATCTGTTGCATGCTGAGGACACAGTCACAGATGGACAATGTAGCCATCATCCATCCACACCCTTCCCATCACGAGACCCTTCCACCCTGTCCAACCAGGAGCTGTTGCAGCATCTTCAGGCCTTTGGGGAGAGCCCGGGCCCTGTCACTCCCTTCACCAGACAATACTACCTGAAGCGACTGAAGGAGGGGAGCCCTGGGGGGCCAGCTGGTGAGTTCTCCTCACTGGGAGGTGATGGGTTTCACTGGGGCTTCTGGGTGGAGATTTCTCTCCACGTCCAGGGAAACAGAGTCTTAGGGAATCTTCCCAATTATCCTGGGATCTTCAACAAACTCCCAGCCTGACTGTCCTGGCTCTGCCAATGATTCACTGTGTGAGTGGGAAAGTCTCTTCTTTGGCCCTGTTTCTCTCATGAAGGGATTATTCTAGATAAACACTGTCTCCCCCTTCTACAGCGAGCTCCCCAAGGAGGCTACACTCTGACCCTATTTCTTCTCCTGGTTTGCACATGATCCAGCCCCAGCAGGGTGCAGCCCAGAGCTGAGCCAGGCCTTGCAGACAGGCTGTGTCCCTAACGCCCAGGATGATGAGGATGTCCTGGCCCAGCAGTTTGACCAGCCAGGCCCCACCCAGAGGTGGCGTGGGGGGATTGTTAAGTCAAGTTTCACCTACCTGCTGCTGGACCCCAGGTATGTAAACCACCAGCAGGGGGCAGGTGAGTAGCTTGGTATATGAAGAAAGGAGCCTTGGATGGACAGTCACCTGGGTTCAGGACCTGGCTCCTTCTGTGTGACTTTGCCAAAATCTTTTCCCTTCCCTGGATCGTGGTTTCCTCAACTGTAAAATAAAGGAGTAGGTTTGATAGCTAGTTTGGCTCAAGTGGACAGAGTTCTGGGCCCAGAGTTAGGAAGGCCTGAGTTCAAATCCAGCCTCAGACACTTAATAGCTGTGTGACCCTGGGCAAGTCTCTTCACCTCTGTTTGCCTCAATCCACTGGAGAAGGAAATGGCAACCACTCCAAGAAAACCTAATGGACAGTGTTGGCGTGCTACAGTCCACAGGGTCACAAAGAGTCAGGCAAGACCAAAAAACAGCAACAAAGTCCTTTCTAGTTCTAATGTTCTCATGCTGTGTTCTACCATTTAAAGTTCTAAAGTCCCTCCCAGCTCTGACATCCAATGTTCTAAGGGCCCTCCCAGCTCTGACCTTCTGGGTTCCAAGGGCCTTCCCAGCTCTGACATTCTGTGTTCCAAAGGCCTTCTCAGCTCTGACATTCTGTGTTCCAAGGGCCTTCCTAGCTCTGACATTCTGTGTCCCAAGGGCCTTCCCAGCTCTGACATTCTGTGTTCTAAGGGCCCTCCCAGCTCTGACCTCCTGGGTTCTAAGGGCCCTCCCAGCTCTGACCTCCTGGGTTCTAAGGGCCCTCCCAGCTCTGACATTCTGTGTTCCAAGGGCCCTCCCAGCTCTGAACTTCTGTGTTCTAAGGGCCTTCCCAGCTCTGACATTCTGTGTTCCAAGGGCCTTCCTAGCTCTGACATTCTGTGTTCCAAGGGCCTTCCTAGCTCTGACATTCTGTGTTCTAAGGGCCTCCCAGACCTGACGCTTTTGTGTTCTAAGGGCCTTCCCAGCTCTGACCTTCTGTGTTCCAAGGGCCCTCCCAGCTCTGACATACTGTAGTCTATACTCTACAGATCCTTCCAGCTCTGGCATTCACACAGAAGGGCTCTCAAAGGCCATCTAGTCCAATTCAGACCTAATAAAATACATGCAAAGGATAAATGTTCATTTTACAAAGGGGAAAAAAGGAATTGGAGAAACCTTCGTTATTTACAAACAGACGTGGGAAAACTGGTTGGTTTGTTACAAGAGAGTTTTGTGAGGGTGAGAGAGTCATTGGTAAGTAGCAAGGATATGAAAAAGACCATCAGCAAAGCATTTATCTTTTTTTTTTAGAGGTAAATGGATTAGCTCTTTGGTGGGAAATGAGTCAGACCTGCATCCTACACCATAAAACCCAGTGAATTCCAGCTTTACGATAGACTTAAACATAAGAAAGAACTATAAAAAAAAGATGGGGGGGCAGGTAGTTGGCTTGGTTGATAGAACTCTGGTCTTGAAGTCATAAGGACATGAGTTCAAATCCAGTCTCAGACACATGACACTCACTATTTGTGTGACCCTGGGCAAGTCACTTAACCCTGAATGCCTCACAACAACAACAGCAACAACAAAAAAAAGATGGAAGGAAATGGAATAATGTACTTATCCTAATTGTAGAAGGAAGATACTTTTTTCTCTCTTAAATAGAAGGAATCATGTACCATGGACAGATCACTGCCCTGGAGTCAGGAGGACCTGAGTTCAAATCCAGCCTCAGACATATAACACTTACTAGCTGTGTGACTCTGGGCAAGTCATTTAACTCCAATTGCCTCACCCCCCCCAACCACCAAAAAGAAAACAGAAGGAATCATTAGGGATGAGATAGATGCCTTGATATAAAATGTTAATATTCTGTACAACAGAAAGAAATGTGATCAAAATGAAAAGAACATAGATTGGGAAAAAGTTTGTGGCAAAAATTAATTTGAGATAAAAATTCAACATTTAAATGAGAACTGTTAAAAACTCCCAGTGCTTACTGGATGGTCACTTAAGGGTCACTGATCAGGGCAGTGGTGATGTTGGAGTTGAAGGCAGTTTGGACACTGATGAGGGGATGATGAATTGGGCACCAATAGGTAATCTAGGAAAAGTACGGGATAGACTGGCACCTGGGTTTCATCTGTGTTGTGGGGACATTTGTTTGTGTCCCAGGGTGACCCAGAACCTGCCCTCCCGATGCCACACCTTGAGCCCAGCCGAATGCTTCCAGACCTTTACTCATGCCATCTTCTACGTGGGTAAGGGCACTCGGACTCGGCCATACTCCCACCTCTCCGAGGCCCTGCGCCATCAACGGAACAGGCAAACTCAGGTGCTGGGACTGCAAGAGGGCAAGTCGGAGGGGTCCGGAGTGGGACTAAATTGATGGATCTGTAACCTAGTCTCTCTCCCCACAGACTTGCCCCAAGGTGCAGCGCATCCTGGACATTTGGGCAGGTGGCCGCGGTGTGGTCTCCCTGCACTGCTTCCAGAACGTCATTGCAGTAGAAGCCTATACGCGGGAGGCGTGCCTAGTGGATGCCCTCGGTGTGTGCCAGTCGGGGCAGCCTATGGGAATGACCCTGGCCCACAAGCCACCTTCCCTGGGGAAGACCCCGGACTTTCCGTTGGGGTGGGACGAGTTCCTTCTGTATGAACGTGGGTCTCTTTATCTCCCCAGGGATGCAGGTGCTCTCCAATCAGAAGAAAGGCCACTGCTATGGTGTGGTAGCAAGCTGGCCACCTCATCGGCGCAGACGGCTAGGGGTACACCTGTTGCACCGGGCTTTGAGCATCTTCCTGGCAGAGGGGGAGAGGCAGCTTCGACCCTCAGACATCCAAGTTGGTATCTGAGTAGTAGCATCAACCTCTGGATGTTGAAACTGGGCCATGGATGGCTCCATCTCTCTCAGAGATACAGGCCTGAGAGACCATCAGACATCCAGGTCAGACACTGAGTGGCCCTCAGACACTGTGAGTGTCACCCAAGTACCTCTAGCCTATCCCAGATGTGCACTCCTGAGGAACCCCAATTCACTCCAGACATTGACCAGCCACGGAAGACAGTATTGACAGCCTCCAAGGAAACGGCTCTGAGCTACATCTCCAACTGCTGGGAGTCACCCATCCTAGGCTTTGCCAGGGGCTCAGCCTACAACAGGTGGTCAGCTCTGATGAATTCAGCAGCCCTCATTTCTGTGCTTTATGCCCCCAACGGCAGCTTGGACCAGTCAGCAATGTCCCCTGCCAGCTGTCCTGTGTCTCTTTTTCTGTGGGAATGCCACCCCTGTACTTCAGTGGGGCAAAGGGTCTTTTCCAGGAGGATGGGGGCCTGGCTACTGTCTTCCCTCCCAATTCCTGGCTCTGGAGATACAGGCCCCAGTACATCCAGATGTTAGTGGCCAAAAGGTTTTCAACAAGATCTTATGACATTGATGATGGAGATATTAGCCATAGAATCCTAGCATACCAGCAGTGGGAGGGATCCTCTCCACCCACTTCATTTTATGGGTAAGGAAACCAAGGCCCAGAAAGGGGAAGGGACTCACCCAAGGCTATGCAGCTTATAAATAAAATAACAATGCCATGACTCAGAGTCCAGACTGTGAGCCCACATGAGCACCTTTTTATCCCTATTTACAGAAGCTGGTATGATTTCTTCCCCCTTCATTTTATCCGTGAAGAACCTGACTCTCAGAGAGGTACAGTGATTTGCCCAAGGCCACACAGCTAGTCCCAGTTCAGAGAGGTACAGTGATTTGCCCAAGGCCACACAGCTAGTCCCAGTTCAGGAGCTTTGTTTTTGTTTTTTAGGCAGTTGAGGTCAAGTGACTTGCCCAGGGTCACACAGCTAGTAAGTGTCAAGTATTTGGTCTGAGGTCAGATTTGAACTCGGGTCCTCCTGACTCCAGGGCCAGTGCTTTAGCCACTGTGCCACCTAGCTGCCCCAGTCTGTGAACTTTAAAACATAAATTAATATTTTGATAATTATTTCAATCTAATTGGTTTCCTTCGTAATCCCATCTCTTATTTTATGCATGTAAAGACCTGTTTCTGAGAAGGTGCCTTGCCCTAGCAGGATCCTAGGTTTGGGTGCTTAAGTTCCATGCTATGAGCCCAGCTCACAACACACACGGCCTGTGGATGACAGTGATTGTCACATTTATTGGGCTACAGCTCGTGGTCTGTACAATCCACATCTGTCTCCCCCACCCCAACACCCACTTCCATCCCTGCCCCCACAGGCTGCAGTCCCCTCTCTCAAGCTGACAAGGGCTTTCCAGCTAGGAGGGGCCCCATCAGGTGGGAATAAGTGTCCCTGGTCAAATGGGGGTGGAGGAGGGGCAGAGGGGGAGGGAGGAAGGATCCCTCCTCCGAAGCAGCAGTGCTGATGACAGAGAGAAGTCTCACCTTCTAGAAATCAGTCCTCAGCAAAGAGAGATACACGAGACAGACGCCCAGTGGGGAGACAAAGGAGGAGACCTTAATACTGAGCACTGGATTGGGAGGTGGTGGGGGGGGGTTACAACATGGAAGGAAGGTAAGTTTCTGTACAAGGTCCTTAAATATAGAGAGGGTGATTTCCAGCTCCCTAGAAATATGGGGATGGTACAACTAATCCTGCTGGGGGTAGCCTGGGGCCACAGCTGAGCAGGGGAAGGATCCCTCCCCCTGCTGTTTTGGCCAGACTGGGTGGGTGTCAAACCCTTCCAGAAAGCCAGAACTGGCCCATCTCCCTCCCAGGAGGGTAGGGATTTATCCCTAATTTTCCCGAGGCAGACTGCCTCGGGGACCCCCTCCCCAAATAGCGCCTACGGGTACGCAAAGGAGACAAGCAAGAAAGGGGGATGGGGTTGGGGGAGGCTTCAGCCCCCTCCTTCAGTGGCCAGTCTGGCCCTGCTGGACAACTCCGAATGCCACTGGGCAGCCCTCCACGGGCGCCTCGATCCCTGGGTGGGGAGGGGCCCCCTCAGCGTGGCTTTCCTCTCCCCCTCCATTAGCCGGAGGGAGGGCAACCATGGCCCTCCCTGAGGCCTGAGGGAAGGCGCCTTCTCCTGCAGCTCCCAGCCTCTTGAAAAGCGCCCCATCGGTCTGTCTGTCCATCCATCCATCCACTTTATTTCTTCTCGGTGGCACTGGCATCAGGATGGTCCGGTGGCCCCAGGACCTCTGGCTCCCACAGAAGGAATTCATGGAGCAGGGTGTTGACTGTCTCTGGACACTCTAGCATCACCATGTGGCTGCCCTCATCAATGAGCTTCAGGAAGGCTAAGAGGAGGATCTGGAGGAGGCAAGGCCAGAAATCATTCCATCCAGCCCCTTGCCTCAGGGCAGGCCTCTCAAACTGACCATTTCCTGAGGGGAGTCGGGCTCTCTCAAAAGCTAATCACCCTCTGAGATGGGCACTGAGGGGAAATTCTGCAACTTAACCTTCTCACCGAAGAAGTCCTTCCTTTGGACTCCCATAATGTATGATTAGGGATCCTTTTTTCTTATTCATTCCTGTGTCCATTTACCCAGTATCAGCTAAAGATCCAGGATTCTATTCCCTCCTCCCAGGGCTCCATCCCCTCCTCCCAGGGCTTCATCCCCTCCTCTCTGGGCTCCATCCCCTCTTCCCAGGGCTCCATCCCCTCCTCCCAGGGTTCCAGCTCCTCCTTTCTGGGCTCCATCCCCTCCTCCCAGGGTTCCGTCCCCTCCTCCCAGGGTTCCAGCTCCTCCTTTCTGGGCTCCATCCCCTCCTCCCAGGGTTCCAGCTCCTCCTTTCTGGGCTCCATCCCCTCCTCCCAGGGTTCTGTCCCCACCTCCCAGGGTTCCAGCTCCTCCCAGGGTTCCATCCCCTCCTCTGGACTCCATCCCCTCCTCTCTGGGCTCCATCCCCTCCTCTCTGGGCTCCATCCCCTCTTCCCAGGGCTCCATCCCCTCCTCCCAGGGTTCTGTCCCCTCCTCTCTGGGCTCCACTGCCTCCCAGGATTCTCACCATGAGATTCAGCCCCCAGCCCTAAGTCTGATATTTCCTGGGACCTTTGTAGCTTGCACCATTGGTGACTAAGAGATAGAAAGAGCCGTGCCAGCCCCCCATATTTCCCTGTACCTCTGCCATACGCTGGTCCTCTTCCACAGGCACGAATTTGTCATGCATGCCATGCACCAGCAAGACTGGTACAGTGAGCTCAGCGTGGTAGACCTCATCACCTTCTGGCCAGTACTGTCCACTCATCATAGCCCGAAGCACAAAGGAGGAAACGTTGAAGGCATTGCCTTCCTTCAGCAGCTGTTTCTCCTTGGCTCCCTGGCGGGCAAAGCCGGCCCTATGGGTACAAAGGGTTAGGGGATGGAAATCATTTTGGGGATCTGGGCCTGAACCACTTCTTGGCCATCATGCCAAACCTGAAGCCAGGATACATCCCTTTCAGGGCTAACCCATGGGCATCATGCCAGCCCCTGAAGTCAAGGACACATTCCTCCCAAAGCCACCCCATGGGCATCATGCCAACCCCAATATCAGAGTCAGAAGCCCCTTCCAAAGAGATTGTGGACCCCAGGTCTCACTTGAGGAAGCTCCAGGCCAGGCAAGGTGAGAGGCATCGGAGAACACAGGTGGGCATATTGAAGATGGAGCAAAGGCTTGGCTCCAGGGCTGTGGGGCCACCACCATTGATCATGATCACTTTATGAACCAGTTCCGGGTACTCGTGGGCCAGGAATGTGCAAAAGGAAACCCTAAAGCAGCAGGGAGAGGTGGGCTGCTCAGCAAGACTGAGGAAGAGGCTGAATACCTGTGACTCCAATAAAGAACCCTCCCCCCAAACATCCCCCCCTCCCATTTGACCTAACCCCTCAGGTTAGAGTTAAATCAATCAACAAGCATTTAAGAGCCAGACACTTAATGTTAGTCAGTCAATAATCATTAATTAAGTACCTACCAGTGTGCTAAGTGCTGGGGATGTGAGAGAAATAAAAAAATAGTCCCTGCCCTGAAGGAACAGTGGAAATTGGGGGAAGGGGCATGGGCTGGGAGAAGGACCCTGTCTAACTCAGGGCTGGGCTTCAGAGCGGTCATAGGCCGAGGTCTAAGGACAACTGATTCCTTCCTGATCCCCTGCTCCAGGAACTCTCAGCCTGCCCCTTGTCTCTGCCCTCTCCCCCTTTCCTAGAAGGGACAGTCTGACCCCTTTCATTTTAAGTCAAGGAAGGCCCAGAGAGGCAACTTGTCCAAGGCTCCACGACAAATTGGTGACTGAAGAAGCACTAGGACCAAGGTTTCCTCCATCCCTCTCTCCCATGACATTGCCCTCCCCCTCAACTGCCACCCCTTCGCCTCACCCATACGAGTGCCCAATGAGCACGTTTCGCCTCTTGGCATAGCGTTTGAAGATGGCTCGCATGTCTTCAGCGAGAGCATAGAAAGTGTATGCAGCAGCCACCTGTGGGGCAGAGCTGGCTCCATGTCCTGCCAGGTCTGGAGCCACCACCTCATAGCCCAGGCCAACAAAGAAGTCTAGTTGCTCCTTCCAAATGGCCAGGGAGCCACCCACGCCGTGGATGAAGAAGAGGACCACATCAGCCTGGGCACCCTTGCAACTGGTGACCCGCTTCTCACAGTCGATGTTGATGGTACGCTTGGGACGCCGTGCCCTCCGCCGACGCCCAGCAGGCCCCGAACCTGGGAGGGCCCCATCCCCCGATGGGCCATTTGCCAGTGAGGAAGAAGGTTCGGGCATCTCCAGCTCCAGGGTGGAGGGGGGCTCACCAATACCATTGTACCCTTGCAGGAGGTCAGCTCGAAGCACGTCGCCAAGGTTCTCCACCACCAGCTGCCCATTGCGGTAGACGGTGATGCGCCGCTTGCAGTGAACCAGCCCACCCTGCTCCCCTTCCGGCTGCTGCAACGGTGCCGGTGGCTGGTCTCCCACAGGTGGGGGGCACACGTGCTTCACCCGAAGGATTCTCCCTGGCTTTACCTCCACAAAAGTGTAGCCATCACTCGACTCAACACTTTCCAGAGGCCCCACGGCATTGGTTGTTGAGCCCAGGAGGCAGCACATGATGCCATCGGCCACACCGGTCAGCATGGTGTGTCCTGGTGGAAAAGAGGACTCGAGGTGAGCACCTGATCGGGTACCACACAGGATACAAACCAGGGGGTCTTCTATGGAGACTCTTGGTCAGACCGAGAAGGGACTTCAAATATAGTGTCAGAATGGCAAAGAACAGGCTATTAGCAATGGAAGGCCTGTTAGACATAGGAGCCAGAGCTGGAAAGGAGCTTAGAAACCATGTGGTCCAATCATCTTATTTTCTGGATGAGGAAACCCAGGTACTGGGAGGGAAAGTGCCCTGTCCAAGGTCCTGCAGTAAGTCAGTGGCAAAAATAGGACTAGAAGCTAGGTCTCCTAATTCCCCCTGGTTTGCCACTGGTCTTTGCGGTCCTGTCAGGCTCTGACATTCCTCATTCTACGTTCTAAGGGCCTTCCCAGCTCTGACATCCTATGTTCCATGTTCTAAGGGCCTTCTAAGAGCTCTGGTATTTTATGAGTCTATGATTTTGAATTCCACTAGATCTTTAAGTTGCTTAGAACCTGATGAACACTCTAGCTTAACCCTGGAGAGAGCTGGGGCAATGAGGCTTACCTGATGGAGGTTTATAGCCTCTCACTCCAGTCCCACACCCCACAGCTTCTCCCTTTTCTCTCCAGCCTTTTGAAATGTGAGCAGGGAAGAGTTCAATCCCTTTC